CTAAGTTCCATCGTAACGGGTACGAAGATGAAGGATTTTTACCCACTGGCATGGGCATGGGCATCATAGACCGGTCGAGTTAAAGTTGCGCATGACGGCTTAAGCACCAGGTACGTTTTCGTGCAAGTGGCTTAAGATGGCTAGGCGGGTAAGAACGGAGCAATATCGTTTAGCAAGGTTTACATACGATCCTATTGTGTATACCTACCTAGGTACCCTTGCAAGATACTAGGTTAGACAAGAGTACCTAGATAGGTAGTAATATCTTCAGTAACAGACCTACATACGTCATGCCTTTGTGCTTTCAACATCCATAAGCACTTAACCCTATCTTCATGACACTGGAATCGGTATACGCATGTATTCAGCTGAATTAGGAATTGGGGGCGTAAAGGCTTCGACGAAAAAAAAACCCAAGGCTACACCAGGTAGGGCAAAGCAGAGCGAGGTAGGGCTCATGATCCTTTAGCCTAGTTACTTACATAAAGCAAGTAATCAATATCAGGAGCGAAATCCAGGTTTCTGTATGACCTTCGAACGTCTTGAGCGTTGCGTGATATATGCCAGTTGCCACGCAATGTGGTTGCATTGCATGGCGGCGTCAGACTATAGTTTGTGAAATTCCCGTAGTGTCGGGCCCGGAACATGTCCTGATATAACCGAGTTCTGCATCACGAGGACCTCATAAGCGGGAGTTGTTACGGTTAGGAGATGGTGCTCCTCGTGCATGTGAGGTAGACAGATTTGTTCGAACGGTTAGGAGTCCCCTAATTCGGTGCATGATTAATCTGACATAGTCTCATGTGAGCTTCTAGCTCCCTCAATTTAGAGGACAACAGCGCTTGTTGGAGTGGTGGGTCGTATTAAACATGAACTTAGCATCATATGAAAATACAACCATGTTATTAGGATCTTGTAGGCTACCGGCTACTATTATCATTTTGAGTACTGAGGTTACTCACATGTTGATGACAGCCTTTTACTTTAGATAAGAGGTAAGCAGGCTGTCGATCATGTAGATTAGATAGGCGGATACGGTTCGGTCACAAAGGGAGAATGTTACAGGGCGAGTTAATATTGCGACCTACATAAAGTTGAAAATCATCTCTCATATCGCGGGGACAGAGCCCCATGGTGAATAGATGAATCTCGGTAGAGATGTGGTCGTCATCGGCGTCAGGGGATGCGGATCTACACATGACAAGGAATGTAGATATATGCTGCCTGCCTATTCGATGCTAGAATGTTGGTACCGTGGTTTAGTTGTGCTAGTACCAGTAAAGTCGCTCTTTGGCATGATATTAGCTCCTAATTTGCTAACAGTGTATGCACTGCGACAGAGCTGTAGAAAGTAACTCATAATAAAAATATCGAGTTTTAGCCATCGCGATATTTTATCTCGTCACATTCAGTTGGTCCCTTTACCTTAGCTTAGAGGTATCTAACGTAAGCAAGAAGACATGTCGTTATCGTTGCTGTTTCTGTTGTTGCAACCCTCGGGATTGTTTCAGATAATTGAAACCAGAGAAGTCGTCGACAGCTGCATATAACGTACATGGCACCGGCAAACTCCAACCAACAGGGGAAATTCCAGTTGTTCTGCTAGGTACACCGCAAGAACGACAGAGTCGCATGGGCGTGGATACACAACGGCGGGCTGCAGGTGGTGATCTCCACGTCCAACAGGGGTTATAAGTGGCCGTTGCAGTGCTACAGGTTCAGCGGACGTCCTGAAGAGGGGGCCAGGGACGGCGCTTAAGACTAGCAAGACCCGAAAGTCATAGGCTGACCGCCACTCCCATTCCAGACTGTCGGTTGTTAGTTAATATGGAGTAACTGGGTAGATACATAGTAGTAGTAGTAGGTGTGTGTCCTGTGAGTAGCATCGCGCGGGCGTTTGGGGTAAGAACTTGCGAGCTGATCGGAAAAATAAAAAAAAGTTGGATGAGATCGTGCTGAAGAATTTTAATTTAGATATGGTAGTAGTTAGATATTAACGATGATGTCGATGACGAGATAGCGAAGTGGCTATTAATTAAGAAGATTAGGTACAATCTGAGAAATCCGGGCGTCTCTCCAGTAGGTCTGGGGTGCGTAAACGTAGTAAAATACTGGTTCAAGTACCTAGAATTGGTAAATGTAAGCACTTAACTGTGCGTATGCCAGTCATGCCGTTTTACACACAACAGGCGACTTTCAGGTTATCGTAAGGCTGAGGGCCCTCTTCTTGGGGTTATGTAGGTTGTAGGTATGTACTTGGGGGTTAACCGGTCAGCACTCTCTCGCTCCCAATCAAACCGATCTGGCGAAAGATTTCCTCGTGTGAAAAGCGCCGACATTCGACCGACGAGGCTTCTAGAAAGTAAGCACCTTCTTTTCGGCCTTACAGTTCCCGCGCCACGGTGGTCGGTTTGTGGTAGGCCAGATACTACCAGAATTCAGTTTCCGTACGAGGTCGTTTGTTTACATTAGGTACTTGTTGGACCCCGAACCTGTGATATTCTCTTATCGACTATACGATGCTAGATTAGGATGTTCCTGCATCGTAAAAGGCTCCTCCCGTGGAGCTGCAAAGCCTAGGTTAAGGTATATAGTCTATTATACCTAGTAAATAACTCTTTCTAGCTAAGCCTCGGCGTAGGCTATGTATTCTCTAACCGCATCTTTCTATATGTGTATAAGTCTTTGTCAAACCCAGCGCGCTTATTATTAGTTTTGTGAGGCTTGCCTTGTGTAAATTGTCTTGTACAGTGATACGTTGCGCGCATAAATAGTTGTAGCATTGTAGCACATGAAAGCGTCAGCTCACTCGTGATATCGTACTACCAAGTATGTATGTATTCCTATTGTCTTTTCCGCCTTATCGTTATAGCTCTGCGTATAGCTTGCGGCATTCCTCTATGTGCGACATAAATATGGGGTCCGCTTCAATCCGACAAATTCGGACCGGAGCCGTAGATGCATTGGTTAGTGGATCTGTAAAGTTGGACTAAAGCCTCAGGTACAGCATAATATACCTAGGAAGATATCCCCATCGAGGAAATAGCAAGTCTGTATTATGAATCATCTTTTGCCTTGAGGATTCCCTATATCATAATAGTATGTAAAAGGTAAAATGTAGACTTTAATTTTTTTTTTCATCGTACGGTAATTTACGGAAGACTATTGGCACAGTGTACGGGTCTTCAATTTCTAACCAATCGAATTATATCTGTCCCCGCACACCTTAGCATTGTGGGTTCCAAAGCCCTCGGCCCCATTTAAAAACGACGCTATGTCTCATAAGGTATAGCGGGATTAAAATTACTATACTTGGAAATAAAGTCTTATAAGACGGTACTTTATACATACCTTACATCCCCAATTGGTAGCCAATCCACGAGCATGGTTCTGTATGTATGAGAGTATTTTAATATACACATAACTAGCAGACTTTTCTTATCTTCGTAATAAGAATTCATGTTTCAGGTTAACCCTATGTAAGTTTCTATACGACGTATAGTTGTTGCCTACAGTCTCGAGTCTTAGTTGGTAGGATGACGAGATATCTCGTTAGTTCTACTAAGGATATAAAAATAATATTCACGAGTCATGTTCCGTCACGGGGGATAGTTCATCTTGAAACTAGATAACAATCCTTGATCGGAAAGGTGTTTTTTTATTGGCTATAGTTGAGCCCCCATGTTATTCGAATTACCTACCTTGTCACCTATCTTGCCAAAGGTAGGTATCATGTACTTTTTTAAGTAAATTGTGCTATATTGTACGATGCGTACCTTGGCGGATGTTAGGGGCTTACGTACAATACTAATACATACTGGTACAACACCGCTTTTGTTGGAGTACCACGGATCGCGGCAGCAGCCATGGTTACGGTTCGATGATACCCACTGCGCTGGTAGGCTCTGCATACGACCTACCAACTAAGTGGGTGCCTACATGATGTAAGTCCCTGCATTGGTGACCATTAGTTATGCATCTTATAGTACTACATAGTTAATACTACTTTGTCTTAACTATTTAATTTTTTGTGACTAGAAACTAACGAACCAGCGAACCAACATCAAGTAAAAGTTCTTTTATGAAAGGACGCCACAACCGTACGTCCACTGATAGGGGCGATTGGTATGTTAGGTAGGCTAGCCTGACTAAACCTTCGTTATTGCTTCAATGATATATCACGTAATAGTGCCTCCTTGATAGTTGATGCGTACCGAGATCTTAGTGCGCTCCGTTTGGCTAATAATGCACGTCAGGAAGACGGGCTGAGCCTTGTCCACTTCTCGTTCATGTCGTGTCACCCAATAAGTAACATAGGCCTCTTGATAGTCAACTCTTAGAATATTTCATAAAATTCGTTTAATAATCAAATCAGACAGCGTAAAAATAGATGAGGATTCCAAAGAATCATCCAAGCAGGCTGACGTATACACGATGACGGGCTGATGATGATGGATGATGATGATGTGATTGTCAACAAAATGAAATTGGTATCTTATTGCTTTGTTGGGTTCTAGACGACTAAAGCCGAGGACCAAAAAAGCAACCCAAAAAGTTTTCCTCTCCTAGCCTAGAGCAATATATGCCTAGAACCGTCCTGAACGCCTAATTGTTCCCCAGCTTGTTAAGCTTAGGATGAGCCTCCATGATGCTAGCTAGTAATACAAATAATGAAAGTTGAAAGACAAAAAAATCCACGCTCTTCAAAACAAAGCTATGACATGCTTGATGATAAAAAACATCCGTCCCAGGGCAAAAGTTCTATGGCCCGTTTTCCCCTAAGAACCAACTCCAGTAAACACCCGGGATATGCGTACAAGTAGAATGAAGAACAATGTTAAAATCGATAGATGAAATGGCTTCCTGTCACCCCCGCGTCCTCGTCGTAATCGTCATCATAGTTCGAGTTTATCATCTCTTCGTAAAAGGCATAGGTGCTAAGAGGTTACTATTGCCGGCTTGGGACATAGTCATCGGCGGTAATTGAGCAGCGGGAGCGACTAGGTGCCCGGGGTACTACCGAGCGTTCTGGTCGGCGCCGGATAAGCATCGTAGCCATCGGAGCGCAAGTCTAATGTGCCCAAATCGAAGCGCTTGGAACAACCATCTTCCATATGCCTTATTTATCTGTTAGCTTTGGGGTCCCCGCATCTATGTGGAAAAAGAAAAGGATATATATATGACTTACCTTCGAAGGGTATCTTTCCGCGCGAACATTCGACCACAGTAATCACACCTGTGGTTCTTTTCTTTCATGTGAACACTCTGGTTGTGTCTTTGTAGATCCGTCTTCCGGACGAATTTCTTGTTGCAATCTGGGACCGTACAGGGAAAGGGATATTCCCTCTTTTCGTCGTGGGTTTCCATGTGTGCTTTAAAGTTGTAGCTCCTGCTAAATAGCTTACCGCACCCTTTAACCTCGCATTGAAAATTGGCCTCCTCCTTCGTCGTCAATTTTCGAGGCTGCCTCCTTGCCGCCCTTGGTACACGTAGCTGTCGCCTATCATGAGAGAAAGCTGCCCCGGCTCCGCTAGGTCCAGCATAATATTGGTCTGACTCGAGGGACGAGTATTCAGACCTGGGCCATGACCCTGAAGGAACATCTGATAGATAACCCGAGCTACCGGCAGTCGAGCCGTAACCGTTATGCTCCAGAGGTAACGAGTGGGCGGAACGAGGTGATGGATACTGTGTTAGCTCAGCTCCAGAATAATCGGCAGCGGCGGCGGCGGCAGCAGCACTCTCCATCTTGATCCGCGGTATTGGCGAAACACTATGTGAATAACCGAAAGCGTGCCTCGAGGATGGGTCTGGCGATCGAGAAGCTACCGAAGACATGGGAGGAGGAGTACCACTACTTGAAAGCACAGGTACGTGAGTATGATGAGATTGGTAGAGCTCATGGCTGTACGATGCATGCATATTGTTAGGTTCGTAGTGAGCGAAGGGATCATAGTCGGCCGACGACATATTCGGGGCCGTTGACGTCGAGCTAGGATGTATCACGGTAGTCCCACTCCAGCCGGCCGAGGTCATAGCATCCAAAGGCGGGAGCGAGTGTTCGGAGCCCATATTGGAAGACATGGTTGCGCAAGGCTGCTCAAACATGGAAGCGATCTTGTAGATTGGGTCAACAAATTCCGGCGAGGGATAATCCAGAGTAGGGCTGTCGGAGCAATTTGTACTTGGAGGTGACGCCGGTGACCTGGTCAAGGATGGAGGTGATAGATCCATCGGGGCTGTATCAAACGCAAGATGCGTTCCAACAGACGGTAAGGTTGGTTGTATAAAAAGAGCTAAAGGGGGAACCTGGTTGTTGTGCAACAAGGCGTGCCCGGTGAGAGAAGACGACACAGCAGTGACTTATGGGAAGCTGGGAAGCTATGGGAGTGGCCTCTTATTCCAACTGTACGTGTATGACGGAGTAAGAGTCTAATTTGAGGCTTGATTAAGTGATCAAGGTGTGTCAATACATAAAAAAGACTATGGAGACATTCCGTGGGATGTAAGCATAGTTATACAGAAAGCAGTCTGGTTCCCATGTAAGTACAAGGGAGTAGACCAGGAGCCTCGGCGCACACCCCTACTATGTAGGTATATGTACGTATCGTACCAACCAGCATTGGCGTAACAATGGGAATCTCTAGAGAGTTGAAGAAGTACTGTAGGAGTGAAACTGTACTCCATATGCCTGCATCAGGATAAACATAGCCAGGCAGACAAGACTCCCAGGAACGAACGACAAGCGCGATATGTGAGGCAGACACCGGAAAATTAATGTATACATGGAGCCGGGGGGTAGAATAGCCCACGGTCCTCGTAAGGCCAGACCCATTTTTACTGGTCTGGTCGGCCTGTCATATCGGGTAAGAGTGGTAGTATATCAAATTGAGGAGGATACAAAAACCACAAGGGTGTGTACGTGAGTGTGTGGTGTCAAATGATGTTCGCGCGGCAGTCTCAAGCGTAGTGGGTGCAATGTAGGGGGGGGCCCATGGATAGAGACACCATGGAATATACACAATAAAGATTAGTACCATAACGTCAGACTATGCGTGGGTACATTTAACGTAGCATAGCTTAGTTACTAGCAGCTACTATAGTGGTACACGAAGAAGGAATTTCCATACTTAGAAATCTTTTTGAAAAAGGTACTACACTTAGCCCAGCCCTCAGCCTAGGGAGACCGGGTCAAGAAGAGAAGAACTGTTAAGTGACTAATATCACCGTACGACTTCGGCGGTTGGAGCCGGGGGCGGGGGAATAAATCGAGCCAGGACCGAAAATTGAAAAATATTCAAGCCAACTTGGTCTCCTAACATGTATGTAAATATCACTAACCTGCTTTTGCCATGTAGACTATTGTTAAGCCTACTTAGGTTACTATCCAACATACCGTTTTCGGGTAGCGTTTATGTGTTATGTACCTGCGCGCGCAGGGTAGTGTACACGTGTATGTAGATGGTAAGTAAGCGAACGGAATAGTACACCTGAGAGATCCAATCCGGCTTCTCGAAGGTCTGAAATCCTTTCAGGTGCTGCAGAATTGGTTACCCTTATAGCAAACCCCTGTCCTTCACTTTCATAAGATAGAGTTCTTATTCGACGAAACCCGCGGATTCGTAAAAAAGCACAAGTTAGGCGACCAGCGGTTACGATACCTCTTACGAAATATACTATGTAGCTCGAGAATCTATTCGCGAGTTTCCGTTAATAATTCATGCGGTGGAGGAAGGTCATCAAAAGCCTCATTAATGCCAGAAGAGGGTCAATGTGACCATAACGAAAAACAATAGATGATTAAGAGGACGATGTCAGCGGCTGGTCTGCTGCGCTTATCGTCGTGTTCAGGCTAGCGCGGACGTGTGTTCTTTTTAGCATTGAGAATAGTGGCATGGTCTGATGTGTTGTTGGTTCTCAGAATAGCAGAATAAGGTAAGTATGGGGTTCGTCGCCTGGCTAACGTTTAATCTACTTTAGGTAGCGTGGGACAATAGGGCGGAAAGGCTGTGGAACTCTTTTTCTGTTCCTCCAGTCATCATCACGTATTTCGTATACTACGGCAGTGTACTTTGTATTGTCGGAACCCCAAAACCGGTATAGCATCCCGCGATAAGTAACAGGGGACGGCTACTGGTTCGAGCGTCTTAACTAGAGCCCGCACAGGGATCTGTTAGCCACATTCTTCGACTTACATAGTACTCGAAGCACAGACTGCGGAACCCACTGCCGTCCGGCGTTAGGATGCCTAAGAACGCTCTAAAGTCCAGGGGTTATCGTTAATTCTTTTCGTTAGTGGCAACACGCAGTAGGTAGGTAATGCTGTTGGTCTTTTACGTGTACCGTACACGCACTATGAAGCGAGATGAGACCCCCCATCCCTAACTATATTTCTAACTAGTTATATTCAATTTCTATGTAACTATAATCAGAAGCTATACTGATACAGTATGAGAAACTGTAGGAACGAATAATTATATCCCTTAATAAGTAGCATAATAGTAGCAGCATAGTATCAGCATACAAAAACACCAGACATTAATCTTCTTTTTTGGACGATGTAACTCTTCTCGTTCATCTTTTTGTTCCAAGTTGAGCAAATACTAAATGATCACTATTCCTACGAGACAGGGTCCTTAACCAACGTTCCCCGCCAAGCGAGCTGTCTGCTAACTATTCGCAGCACCATTCCCTGGAGGCTGGAGGAATGTTTATTTTCAGGTCAAGATCCCGATAGCACTTACAACCCTGATCGTAAATATTTTACTCCACGGCGGCTGCGCCACAGTACAGTATCAACAAAGCCAAGCTTTCATCTAGAAATAGACATGTAGTATCTCAAATATTTATCCTTACATTAATTACATGGTCCTCATTTTTAACCTCGATAGTCTTGGTATGACAAATATCGTGGGACGGCGATCGATGGTCGGCGTATGAAGTCATAATTGTATGTATAGAGCAGCATGTTCTCAGCTGGACCGCCATTTGTCGATCCTGAGATAAGATTGATGTCATTCTGGTGCTGTCCTTGCAGATATCTGAGACTCGCATCCTTGACCGTACTGCAGGTACCACAAGAACCACAAGAGAACATCGACCCTTCGTGGCTACATGTATGTATCTTGCTTTTGTTCGTTTCTTAGCGGTACGATGATAGGTAGGATCCATCATCCACTACCAACGTTACCGCAAGACAAAAGACTCTTTACACTACACTAGACCCATACTGCCCTAGTAGCCCACTACATTATACATACCAGGGCAAAATAAAATAATAATACCTAATTAGCGAGTAACTAGACCTAAGAACCTACATAGGTTAAGAACATTTTACATATACATCCAGCCCCATCTCCCGCGCGCTAGGCGTAGCCCACGTGTTTGGCCGGGTTCCTCGGGGTGCGGGTCTATCTATCGTAAACCCTCGAAGACTTACCCAATAGCCGCGACTCTTGCGCGAACACAGAACTGGCGGACCTTCCGCACACGGCAGTCAGACTACCCTGCCACGTTTCGGGAGACATAGTGCTGAGAGGCTTAGCTGCTCGAAGGAGCTAAATTTACATAAATCTATCCGTTTCAGGAACATTATGAACGATGAATAAGAAATAGCTTGCTGTTAGTTCCTCGAAACGTTTCAACAAGCGCGAGCAAGCAGGTTCTCACACTCCATTTGGTTAAAACATCCTATTCATATCAAAATAGTGCATTCATAAGCCTACTGTTTCCTGTACACTTATATGACTACCAGGTCGCCAAGACCTAGCCTCGCAAACCTCCATGTAGCATTATCTTCACGGGGATGGCGGGACATGCAGAGCATACCGCTACTCGCTAAAGAAATCGGTTGGGGCGGAACGATCCACGCATCTCATACCCATCGTATCCGGTACTTCTCGCAACCTCTTGCCTTAACGATTTCGTACTGTACTTATACATGTAGATAGCGGAGGAGCATCACGAAGAAAGAGATCCGAGCCCTAGGCACGTTACCTACGTATGGAGTCGGCTTGATGACTACATACGGTAGCCAAGTAGCCTCATATCCCCATCTCGGGATTTGAGGACGCAACGAACATACGTTGCCCTGTGCTAAAGATGGTCCTGATACAGCATCTCTCCACACATACATACGGGTTGCTTAAAGGAGGATTCCTCTAAAATCACCAACACGGCTCGCAAGGGAAGATCTGGCCACTTGTCTATGTACGCTAGCAGATCATAAAGACCAAGTTTAACTCGGTTTCGGGGGGCCAAAACATACTCTATTCATATGAATAGTTTTAGATGACCGCATATATTTCTAAGTCAGTATGAATCATCGCTAATTGGGTATGCCTTACCACAAGAGGCTAGCCTTGCAGGATTCACAATCTTCAGCATGACCTGAAACAAAGAATTGATTAAAACGTACTGCAGCGTAGTATTTTTATGCCGCCTAGTCGATCAGCCATTAGTTCGTACAGTTAGGTGTGTTTTTAAAAAATCAGCTGTGCAACATCTCGAAATAGTAACACGGGTAGGGCTAAAGCTGAGAGCTTACGGTACATAGCCAACACCAACATAGCATAGCATTCGCGTATTTTTCGGACTCGGACTAGATCGGATAAATATGGAAAATGGATATATCGGCATTGTGTTAAATAGATGTAACCGAAATTCGGAAACGAAACTCGGAAATATGTGACGAGCGAAAAGGTTCCGAAGAATATGTTCCGAATACCGAGGGAGGGACATGTTGTATTGAGAGGTAGTGTTGAATGTTGAATGTTGGTTACGGCACGGTAATTTGATCAACTGCATACATTCGCATTTTCATGATATGATATCAATGAGCGAACATATTAAAATAATTGAAAAAAAGGGGAAATCAATTAAGCTTAATGTACTGTGCCAGATCCCGACAATCTGGGTTCAATCGCAACGCCCCAAACCCAACTCCATGGATTGAAGGCAGAGGTTATCGGGAGCATCTGCCCGCTATCGGGACGCTCGTTCCTATGATGCTTTTGTGCAATCCGACGGGTTTGTATGGGTTGTCTAGTTGTGTATGGGTGCCTCCCGCGCCGTTGAGATTCGGCTCATCCCGATACCACAAGCCATAGATCTGGATTTTAGGGATTATAGGGCTAATCTAGGTACATACCTTGGTTTTAGAAAGAAAGAAAAAACCTTATTGCGACCGCACTTTTTACAAGACCCATTCCAAGTCAATTGGATTATCGTCGGAAACGAAACTGGTGGTGGCTTGAGATGGCTTGGCCAAGTAGTAAATAAATGACCTATAACAACGCAGTAGCAGTTAAAACGACGCAGAATTCCAATGATATAAACCCCTTTTAATTTCATTAAAAGTATGATTCAAATTGACATTGATATATATAGAATATATATATTCAATGTAGGCATATTCTGCGTTGTTATGTATTTTTGGTAAGATGGCGGATGAGTTGCATCAAGTTCTCCAACTGGTTATGTATATAGGTACTTGTATACCTACCTAAAAGTACCTAACCTAAGAGGCACTTAACATAGGGCTGATTCTGGAAGTGGGTTATATGTGGCTGCTTCAAGCCGCAACTTACCGTTTATTATAGCGTTTACCAAATGAGAAACGTGCATGAGCCACTAGCTGCACAATGCTTTAGTATTCTTTATCTTATCCGGAATCAAATGCCAGTCAAACTTCAGCCTGACAACGTCAACTATCGCGTAGCTATTAATCTCGCGATGCGTATATACAATTTAACATGCAAAAGTCTAAAGCCGGTTTAAGAATATAGTAAAAGAAAATATTCAAGCCGAACTAGTTTCTTTACTACCGGCAAGCCAAGCACATAAACCAGCATAAGCATGCTATTTGTAACATTTCTACGAGACTGCAACTAAAGGAGCCTCTACGAAAACGACCTTAACATACCCGCACCAATACGCGTGCCCTGAAGGTCTCCATCGACAACTATATCGAGTCTCATACGGAATTCTCTTACTATAAGAATCCCTCTAATGATTTAACTCTGCACGCTCACCTTCATATCGTATTTACCTAAAATCCAGCAAAGATGAAGTTCTTCATTGACGACCTTCCGGTTCTCTTTCCGTATCCACGAATATATCCGGAGCAATATGCATATATGTGTGATCTGAAGAGGACTCTTGACGCAGGCGGGCACTGCGTCTTAGAGATGCCTTCAGGGACCGGAAAGACCGTCTCACTACTGTCATTAATCGTTGCATACCAGCAACATTATCCCGAACACCGGAAGCTTATCTACTGTTCTCGTACCATGTCAGAAATTGAAAAGGCATTAGCGGAACTTAAGGCCTTGATGAAATTCAGGGCTGACGAACTCGGCCACGTAGAAGATTTTCGCGGCCTAGGCCTAACAAGCCGTAAGAATCTCTGTCTTCATCCTTCGGTCAAGAGAGAAAAGAGCGGTACCATCGTGGATGCTAGATGTCGTAGCTTGACTGCTGGCTTCGTCAGAGAAAAGAAGGACAAAGGCGAGAGCGTTGAGACATGCGTGTACCATGATAATCTGGACCTCCTGGAACCACACAATCTCGTACCTAACGGTGTTTGGACCCTTGACGGCTTACTGAGATATGGCGAGCAGCACAAGCAGTGCCCCTATTTCACATCGAGGCGAATGGTAAGTCCCTCCGAATTAATCTACCCGAGGTCTACATTGCTAGAGGCATAGAGCTCACATCTTCCGGGTTATAGATGCAATATTGTAACGTTATAATATATTCTTATCACTACCTGCTGGACCCCAAGATAGCAGAGCGTGTATCCAAAGAGCTCTCGAAGGACTGTATTGTCGTTTTCGACGAGGCCCACAACATAGACAACGTCTGTATCGAGTCTTTAAGCACAGATATCACAGAAGATTCCCTACGAAAGGCCACCAGGGGTGCTCAAAACCTGGAACGTAAGATCTCAGAGATGAAGGAGACAGATCGAGAACAGTTGGAAAACGAGTACCAGAAGCTAGTGGAGGGCCTTCGAGATGCCGATGAGGCTCGGCAGGAAGATACTTTTATGGCCAATCCCGTTCTCCCTGATGACTTGTTAAAGGAGGCGGTTCCTGGAAATATCCGGAGAGCTGAACATTTTACTGCTTTCTTAAAACGATTTATCGAATATCTCAAGACGCGTATGAAGGTCCGACAGGTCATCTCGGAAACACCACCATCATTCCTGGCACATCTAAAGGAGCACACGTTTATCGAGAAGAAGCCGCTACGCTTCTGTGCTGAAAGATTAACCTCCCTTGTGAGGACACTCGAGCTAACCAGTATCGAAGATTATCAACCGCTACAAGAAGTAGCCACATTCGCGACTCTTGTCGCCAACCTACGAGAAGGGATTCTTGCTCATTCTTGAGCCCTTCGAGTCAGATACTGCCGAAGTACCAAACCCAGTTCTACATTTCACGTGCTTAGATGCGGCAATCGCTATCAAACCTGTATTCGACAGGTTCAGCTCTGTCATCATCACATCTGGTACTATCTCGCCCTTAGAGATGTACCCGAAGATGTTAGGGTTTTCTACGGTCGTCCAAGAGTCATACGCTATGACCCTGGCGAGGAGATCTTTCTTGCCGATGATCGTAACTAGAGGAAGCGACCAAGCAACTATCTCCACAAGCTTCACAGTCAGGAATGAACCTAGTGTGGTTCGTAATTACGGTAACCTCTTGACCGAATTCGCAAGAATTACTCCAGACGGTATGGTCGTTTTCTTCCCATCATACCTGTACATGGAATCTATTATTAGCATGTGGCAGGGAATGGGCATATTAGACGAGGTCTGGAAGTACAAGCTCATCTTGGTCGAAACGCCGGACGCCCAAGAAACTTCGCTTGCGCTTGAGACATACCGCATGGCCTGCTGCAATGGCAGAGGTGCTGTCCTACTATGTGTGGCTCGTGGGAAGGTCTCAGAAGGTATCGATTTCGACCACCAGTACGGTCGAACTGTGTTATGTATCGGCGTTCCGTTCCAATACACAGAGTCGCGTATCCTCAAAGCTAGACTACAGTTCCTTCGAGAAACCTACCGCATCCGAGAAAACGACTTCTTATCTTTCGACGCCATGCGACACGCCGCACAATGCCTCGGTCGTGTGCTCAGAGGCAAAGACGACTACGGAATCATGGTTTTGGCCGACCGCCGGTTCCAGAAGAAGAGACTCCAACTCCCTAAATGGATCAACCAGGCCATGCAAGAGGTTGACGGGAATCTAAGCACAGATATGGCAGTTATCACAGCGAAGCGCTTCTTGCGAGACATGGCGCGACCCTTTAAATCTAAGGACCAAGAAGGGATCAGTATGTGGAGTCTCGAGGATCTGAAAGAGCACCAGAAGAAGGTCGACGAGGAACGGATTAAGGAGTTGCAAGATGACAATGCGGCTATCGAGGCCATGCATAGAGCGCAGGCTTTGCAGGCTATGCAAAGCTACAATGATGACTTCGATATGGACGACGACGATCTCGACGAGGGCATGATGGAGCTTGACGCGGCGTGAACGTGAGTTTGTGCGGATAGTCACCAATTCGATATTCTGTATAACAATCACATCGCATTGGAGCTTAGGGGTTCTCAGGCGTTGAAATAAGTAGCCAGCACCGCAAGGTTAAAAGGTATCTAATACAAAATTGTTCAAGACGTTTTATTACACAATCTCCTAGCCTAACCATGTGATTAATTTAACTATTATGTACGCAGTAGGTAGCTCTAACTTAGTGGGTAGACTTTGCGAGATTCCAAAAGTTCTCCATCTTGGACTTAGATAATACCTCCCTCGCCTCGCTGTCCGTCTCGCAGACCTTGGAGCCCCATTTCCTGAACGCGCGGACTTTACTTCTCCCTCGAAGATCAGTTTGCACTGGTTCTCGGCTAGATCCTTCAGATCGCCCTCTTCGTTCTCGGCCTTGAGCCATTCCTTCAAGGCCTCGTTCTGTGCGTCCTTCTCGCGAGATGGCAGGTTCTCGGTCCAGTTGATGCGGTTTAGGAGTAATTTCTTGTAGTGCTTGATAGACCACTCGCCACCTTCCGCGATCACCAAGTTCTGCTTCGGGTGCATGATGACCAGGCCTGTGAGAGCGAGCTGGTCGGCGTTGACGCTGATCTTGTACCGGTGTTGACCGTTCGCTAGGCTGTTGATCTTGAACACCAGCATATGCAGGCCCTTGGCCGCGTCCTTCTCCTGGTTCGTGGCTAGCTTCTCGTGTTTCTGCTCCTTAGTCAACTTTCGCTCCTCGTTCGTCAGCACGTGCTTGTTGTGCCGATCCGCGATCTCGCGGTTCACACGGGCTTCGACGGCCGTGGGATCTTTGACGGCTTCCTCGCCTAGGACACGCATTAGATTGCCCTTCTTGACCTTTGGCGGCGGCGCAGGGACAAGGCCGAGTCTAATCTTGGCTTGTTCCTCCTTCAGGTCGGCCATTCGGCGCTGTCGGCGTAACTTGGCTTGTTCCGTGGAGGTGAGGTACATGGGTTTCGGAGCGGGGACGTTCTTGTCCTGAGGAGGTTCGATGGGGACGGGATGTTGGATATATCTAGTGATTATCGTGTCTTCGGTGTCGATCTTTAACACATTGGGGTTTTCTATGTCGTCGTAGTTCTTGCCGTCTATCAATCCTTCGTCCCACCACTCAACATCTGGAGGAGCTTCGATAATAAAATTCTTCTCGACATCTTTGTCCTCATCTATTCCGACCTTGCGCGTACCCGCTGCAATCTTCTTCTTTAGAGCTTCGAGCGCTGCTTGCCTTCGTAGCGCGTTCGCTTGCTGGATGTATTTGCCTTTTTGGTTGAATATGAGTTGACGTGACTGCCTCGGCTTTGCGCCGGGAGCGCTCAGGCTCGCGTCAAAATAGGGATTATTCTTGATTTCCTCTTGCGATGGTCCAGATAGATCGAGGGGTTTATGTTTCGGTTGTGCCTTGTTGCCATCGTTCCGTGATCGCGAACCTAATCCGGATTTCGAGTCGTTGGTCTTGCTACCACCAGGCTTCCATTGCCCAATATCTTCCAACGCTGGATGAAGACCAACATTCAGACCACCCTTTGCCTTGGTAGATCCTATAGCTGCTGATACGCGTGCCTTCAGTGCTGCTAGCTTGGCGGCTTTGTCTGTAGCAGACTCCGGTTTCTGTACTCGAGACCCAGCATCATTGCGCGGGCCAAGGCCTGGCGAGCCGTGTCGCTCCATGAGATATGATTATAACTTTGACCCTATGGGATGAACGGGTGAAGTTGAAATCAGCAAACAAGTATATATCGACTCAGGAAGTGCCTGGATGGTATTTGGATGATGATGTCGATGCTGGACAAAGAAAGGCTACCTCAGACAAGGTAACAGTGGGAGAAATGAATTAAAACCACACACGGAGCGACACGCGATGCATTTGGTAGTTCCCTAGTAAAGAAAGAGAAACTATTACAGGTATACAATGCAGCAAAGTATGTAGGTACCTTGGTTGCTTAATTCTTAGCTGCTTTGATAGTTGCACACTCGCTAAGTTGCACTAATGATTGATATGATTGATTGAATGATAATGATAAGTTAGATAAGATGTGTCACATGATCTTTTACTTCTGCCGTCTATCACCGCTAAAAAGTTCAAGCTCCAAAATTTTGGTTGATCGTGAACCCCACTAAAAAAACAGTATCTTCGACTTATAACCAGCCAACCAGCCCTCCAATATAATACAAGAAAACATTAATGCCATGAGTTGATAGAGTTTTACTGAGATCGCTTCAACCCTCTATAAACTCTAACAGCTCTAACAGCTCCAATTCAAGGGTCGAAGCGGGTTGGAAAGGTTGCGCTAGGTTATGAGGTTATAAAAACCGTTAGCCATGAATATCTCACAGCCAATTCAGTCGGCTATCGACAGCGTCGACTTCGACTTCCTCACTCCAACCGAGATCAAAGCTATTTCTGTGAAGAGGATTGAAAACCCGACCACATTTGATAGTCTTCTAAATCCGATACCTGGTGGACTTTACGATCCAGCTCTTGGAGCTTGGGGAGATTCAGTGTAAGTAGAATCTAGAGATGGTGACATGCGTCGCATATGAAGTTAACACTGGTAGATGCACAACATGTAATCTCACACAGCCGAATTGTCCAGGTCATGTTGGCCATATCGACCTTCCAGTCCCTGTATATCATCCTGTTTTTATGGACCAAATTTTAAGATTACTACGCGCGCAATGTCAATACTGCTTTCGCTTTCGAATGCGACGGGCCGATCTAAGCCTGGTCGCTTGTAAGCTACGTCTCCTCCAATTCGGCCTTATAGATGCGGCAAATTATCTCGACGATATTACAGCCGAGACTACCGATATCCAAGTCGATGATGATGAAAACCTTTCCGACGGGGAAGAAAGCTCAGCGCTTGACAAAATAACTCGCATGAGAGAAGTTTATACCCAAACAACGTTAAAGAACCATAGGGTTGGAACCGCCGACATCAGGAAGGGTAAACATGAGGGTGCATCTGAGGCAAGGAGAGAAGTGCTTAAGGACTTCTTCAGGGAAATAACCAAGGGCAGAGCGTGCGCTACATGCCAGGCGATATCTCCAAACTTCCGAAAGGACCGGTTTGTCAAAATCTTCGAGAAGCCACTCAGCGCCAAGGACCAAGCCAAGATGGCGCAGCGAAATTTCGAGCACAGAGATGCCTTAGCTATAAAAAGGAAATCCAAGGCAACCGTAACCAAGAAGCGTGGCTACGAGACAGACGAAGGTATCGCTGATATTGATCTACCATCGAGTGAGGGAGAGCCCGACCAGGATAATGACGAAGAGGAGGAAGAAGAAGAGGGAGAGGGCGAAGAACTTGACGAGAATGGCGATGTGATCATGTCAGAAGGTGGTGATGCCGCTACCAAGGTCCCCAAGACGAAGAAGGACGCATCGGCCAAACCTCAGCAGCGTTATGTCAACTCGATGGAAGTACAGGCTCGGCTTCAACTCTTGTTTGAAAAAGAGCAAGAAATAATGGGCCTTGTTTACAACTCGAGACCTCTAGGGAAGAAACTCCCTGCCGACAACTTCTTCATCCAAACCTGTTCCACCTAACAAATACCGGCCCGAGGCGCGACAAGGCGACGGAGGGATTGCAGAAGCCCAACAGAACTCTCTTTACAAGCAAATTCTTGCATCTTGCGCGCGCATTGCTCAGATACATAAGGAAATCACGCAGCATGGAAACGATCCCGATTCGACGGCCGGCGGCGGCGAGACATGTCTGAAATGCACGAAGCTTGTGTTCAATTGCAAGATAGCGTAAATTCTTTAATTGACCGTGATAGAAATCCTATCCGCGGAGCCGCTGGAAAGAGGAATGAAGACGGTATCAAACAGAAGCTCGAAAAGAAAGAAGGACTTTTCAGAAAAAACATGATGGGCAAGCGTGTTAACTATGCTGCACGAAGTGTCATTTCCCCAGATCCCAACATTGAGACCAGCGAAATAGGTGTCCCTCCCGTCTTCGCCAAAAAGTTAACATATCCGGAACCGGTGACCAGCCATAATTTTAGAGAAATGCAACAGGCAGTTATCAATGGTGTCGACAAATGGCCCGGTGCCACCGCGATTGAGAACGAGAACGGGCAAATTATTAACCTGAAAAACAAATCTGCGGAAGACCGTGTTGCTTTAGCCAACCAGCTTCTCGCGCCGACAAGCCAAGAATATGCCGGGGTGAAAGGCAAAAAGGTCCACCGACATCTCGGAAACGGCGATGTGGTGTTAATGAATCGTCAGCCCACGCTGCACAAGCCCTCCATTATGGGTCATCGAGCCAGAGTCCTGCCTGGAGAAAAGACGATTCGTATGCACTACGCAAATTGTAACACGTACAACGCAGATTTCGATGGTGACGAGATGAATATGCACTTCCCTCAAAACGAACTTGCTCGAGCAGAAGCTTTAAAGATTGCCGATACCGACCATCAGTATCTATCAGCTACTGCTGGGAAGCCCTTGCGAGGTCTGATCCAGGACCATTTGTCTGTGTCTGTTGCGCTCTGTAACAAGGATACCTTTTTCGATAAAGGCGCATATCAGCAGCTTGTATATGGCGCGTTACGACCTGAGAGTGGCCATATCACATCTGAAAGACTTGAGCTTGTCCCGCCAGCTATCTTCAAGCCTGCTCGGCGTTGGACTGGAAAACAGGTTATTACAACCATATTGAAGAACATGAAGCCGGCTGGTTGCGGTGATCTCTGGCTCACCGGGAAATCACAATTAAAACCACCTTCTTGGGGCAACTTCCTCGAAGAGAGCAATGTATTGTTTAGCGACGGCGAATTTATTACCGGTATCCTTGATAAGTCACAGCTAGGTCCTAGTGCTGGTGGATTTATACACTCTATCCATGAGATCTGGGGCCCTGAACTTGCCGCTAAGCTTCTCAGCTGTCTTGGTCGTCTTCTTACCCGGTACCTTAATATGCGCGCTTTCACTTGCGGTATGGACGATTTACGACTCACGCCTGAGGGTGAGAAGAGTCGCAAGGAAAAGCTGAAGAGCGCCAGTCATATCGGTCTTGAAGTTGCTGCACAATTTGTGAGTCTAGGCGACCGACCCAATATCACCAACACGGATGAGCTACTATTGGAACGGTTAGAAGAGGTTATGCGTGACGATACGAAGCAAGAAGGCTTAGATCGTATGATGAATTCCCGATCGCGTGATCTGTCTAGCGAAGTCAATAAGACTCTTCCCGCAGGGCTCGTGAAACAATTCCCTAAAAATCAAATGCAGTCTATGACAACATCCGGTGCAAAGGGAAGTACTGTCAATGCAAACTTGATTTCTTGCAACCTTGGCCAGCAGGTTCTTGAAGGTCGAAGGGTACCTCTGATGGTTAGCGGCAAGTCGTTGCCATGCTTTCGTCCGTTCGAAACAAGTGTGCGAGCAGGTGGTTATATTGTAAATCGTTTCTTAACTGGAATTCGACCTCAGGAATACTATTTCCATCACATGGCTGGACGAGAAGGTTTAATTGATACCGCTGTAAAGACGTCACGATCCGGTTATCTACAAAGATGTCTAATCAAGGGAATGGAGGGCCTAAAAGTTGCTTATGATTCATCCGTACGAGATGCCGACGGATCAATGGTTCAGTTCTTATACGGAGAAGACGGTTTGGATATCACCAAGCAGAAATACTTGACTGATTTCGGCTTTGTGCTTCGCAACCAGATATCTGAGGTCAATTTGCTTGGTATTGGAGAGAGGGGATGGGATCAAGAAATCTACGAATCTAAGGACTACGCTCAAAAATACCAAAAGAAAGCCATCAAGCAGGCCAAGGCGAATGATCCAAAGGCCCTCGACCCGATTCACACTGAGCTTAATCCCAATCGCCATGCGTTCTCCACGTCGGAAAAGTTCTACGAGAAGGTGTCCGAGTACATCAAGAAAAACCAGGACGGTCTGATCAAAGAGAAGGGCGAGAAGAAATCAGGTGCTATGCTCATCCCTCGTAAATACGCTGAGAAGATATTCCATGCCAAATATCTTCACTCCCTGGTTGAACCTGGCGAGGCCGTAGGTATCGTTGCTGGTCAATCCGTCGGTGAGCCTTCGACTCAAATGACATTGAACACGTTCCATTTGGCTGGCCACTCTGCAAAGAACGTCACTCTTGGTATCCCCCGTTTGCGAGAAATTCTCATGACAGCTAGCGACCATATTTCCACGCCGTCCATGACGCTAGTACTGAACGAAGAATTATCGGAGGCGGATGGAGAGACGTTTGCAAAAGCAATCAGTATTCTTCCTCTCTCGCACGTCGTCGACAAGGCTACGGTAAAGGAGCGTGTCGGCAAGGGCATTGGCTACCGCTTAGCAAAGATGTTTGATATTCACCTCCAATTCTTCCCTTCTACCGAATACACAAAAACGTACGCGATCAGCATTTCTGACGTTCTCAACACCCTCGAGGTTAAGTTTTTGCCCGTCCTAGAGAGGTTAATCAAGAAGGAAATCAAGGCAAAGGCTGATCAAGAGGGCGACGCGGTGCCAGAGGTTGGTGTCAAGTCTGGCGTAGTCGAAGTAGCTTCGGGCAACCCCGATGCCGTAGCTCGCGATGAGGATGATGACGACGATGATGACGATGACGATGACGCGACAAATGCCAAGCAACGCGCGAACCGAGCGCAGGCAGTTTCGTATGGTGCAAATGATGAAGAAGACGACGAAATCCAGCAGCGAATGGAGCGGGAGGCGTCACCGGAGGATGAAGATGAACCTGAGGACGAAGGGTTTGGTGGCAGTCCGCCCCCACCAAGCGATGACGAAGATGAAGACGGCAGTACTAGCAAACGAGCCGGTGCCCGCGAAAGTCGTATCAAGGAGAAGATCCCGGTCGTATCTCGTTTTACATGTGACGAGAAGAAGGGTGAATGGTGTGATTTCACACTTGAATACGATTCCAACATACCTAAGATCCTCATGTTGAGCGTTCTCCAAGAAGCAGTCCGGAAAGCACTCATACAACAAATCGATGGTATTAAGTCCTGCACATTCGTAGCCGACGAGAAGATAGTCGACCCGCGAACTGGAGAGGAAGAAAAGAAGGCGGTTATCCACACATCCGGTGTCAATCTCCGAGCCATGCAGAAGTATGGCGACTTCATCAACCCCAACAAGATTCAGACAAATGATATTGCATCAGTGCTCCAGGTGTATGGCGTCGAGGCAGCACGTAACAGTATCATTCGGGAACTTGGCGGCGTCTTCGAAGGTCACGGTATCGGTGTCGATAAACGACATCTCAACCTCATCGGAGACTACATGACGAGGAACGGAGGGTTCACCCCGTTCAACCGCAACGGCTTGAAGGGTAACGTCAGTCCATTCACTAAGATGAGCTTCGAAACCACATTGTCATTCTTGAAGGACGCCGTTCTCGACGGAGATTGGGATGATCTTACCACACCCAGTAGCCGAATCGTCATGGGCAGGCTAGGCATGATCGGCACTGGCGCCTTCGATGTTCTTCTCAAGGCACATCCGAAAAACGGGAAGAATCACCTGAGCTAAGAGGTCGTAGTTAATAAGGAATCAAAATAGGCGCAATGGAAATATTTGAAATCTTGGTTAGGAGTACAGTTGTATTCTTAGTGTTAGATATGGGAAAATACCAGCTATTTCACAGTCATGTCTCGTGGCTTGAGTGAATGAGAAACCTTCGTATGATAAGACCCGCATTGCAACTTCAAATGAAGTCCCCTCTATTTCGCAACGCACGTAGTAATGAGGTCCTAGCTTAAAAGACGTAGAGGTGAAATCTTAAAATTATGTAGATACAAGTCAAGTCAGTATGAGGAAGATTCTTATATTCTGCGCCTAGCCAAGCAGCCGTAGAAACTATAAACTATCATTAACTATAAACTTGTGACTCATAGAAGTAAACAAACGTGGCCTCAACAGTATAGTATTTAACTGCCTAATGTAAGTAGCTCCCCTAGAAATACATCAACGCATAGCACTTCTCATAATTCTCAAGGTCGAAAAGTGAGAGTCAGCGTGATATCCCATATTAAGAATCTTAATGAGTTTCACTAAAGAATAATAAACTCTAGTAAACACCTTTACACTACGACTTAGACACGTACGCGAATATCATATAGTAAAAGAATAAGGGGAAATTAATCCGAGCGGTCGGGATTTAACTATGCCAACATAGAAAAGGCCGACCGCCGGGTAAAGGGAACGTTAGATCAAATATCACATGGGTCACCCGACATCTCGGGATTGTTACCGACCTAGTTGATACAACAGGATTGGCTCGGAGACTTGAGAAAATCAAGATATCCCAACAAACCTCGTTCTATATATAAACAGGAGTAAATATTAAACATTTTATCGATCAGATCCATCCACGTATGTAAGATACCTAGATATATAAGAGAACATTCAACAGCGCACAAGACATAAGCTAGGAGTGCGGTAATCAGCATTATGATTGTTCTATGATAGAAGGAGGAGTAAGCGCATATCAACAAACAACACGTTTACTTTTTCAGTAGAAACTTTAATAAAAGCATAGTTACACCGAGCGACTTGATTGTTATAACTGTTTAGTGAAAAGATAGCTTGATTCGAATACCATACTACAATCACGGGCTTAATACCAATGTAAGAAATTTACTTATACGATACAAGTCAGCTACAAGTACATATAGCAATGCCCAAAGGAGACCAAGAATTAAGTACCTCGGTAATCATATGACACAGTGAAATCATTAAATATTATGCGGCATAAAACATACGGTATGATTCATAGACTAGCGGCGATAGTTACATTAAATCACTCGGGCAATGGAAAGACTAGTGAGTTTGTTTGTTCATGTTTCTGAATTCTCAGTCCAGTATCGCAGCGCAGAAAGCCGACTGCCTATCACTGATGTACAATCCATATCTGTAAAAGCAACGTAATCGCAAACGCCGTAATGATTACCATTCCCTGTAAACCGAATTCATCATGCCATCCCTGTGGGAATCATAAAGTGCAGCATCCGACCAAAAACCCCTTGCAAATCACCAAGACCGTAAGCGGACAACTGTTTAGTTGCGCTCACCACGGAGGCGACGGGCGAGCTGGATGTCCTTCTGTAATGGTTGTTAGAATGTGTTAAACTAGTAAATATGCAAGTGAATGTACTAACCGATTGGATGGTGACACGCTTGGCGTGGATGGCGCACAGGTTGGTGTCCTCAAAGAGGGAGACGAGGTAAGACTCGACGGACTCCTGAAGAGCACCGATGGCAGAAGACTGGAAGCGCAGGTCGGACTTGAAATCCTGAGCGATTTCACGAACCTATTAAAGACGCGTTAGTTTGATGTTGATTGTCGCGATGCGGGGAAGTCGCGTTTTAAGTAGAAACATCCCGGTCGCGATATCCACTTGTCAAATGACGCGTAGATTAAGCGACGGTGAGATGATAGAATGGATAATAACTTACCAGACGCTGGAAGGGGAGCTTGCGGATGAGAAGCTCAGTCGACTTCTGGTAGCGACGAATCTCACGAAGAGCGACGGTACCGGGCTTGTAGCGGTGAGGCTTCTTGACACCTCCGGTTGACGGGGCGGACTTGCGAGCGGCCTTGGAGGCAAGCTGCTTACGGGGAGCCTTGCCACCGGTGGACTTACGGGCGGCTGCTTAGTGCGGGCCATTGTAAGATGACGTTGATGAATTAGTTTGATGAAAAAGTTGATGAAAGTGGTGATGTTGATGGTTTAAAAGATGAGGCGAATGCGGATTGTTGTGGATTGTTGTAGATGTGGAAAAGAAGAAACGGATTGGAGGGGTGGGGGAACTTGGTTAAATATGTGAGAGAGTGGGTTCTTCCTTTGGCTGATTGTGTGCAAGGCAGGTACTCTGGGGGGGCAACTAATCAGATGGTCAATGCGCAGCGTTGTAGGATCAGAAGGAAAAAAAAAAATGGAAAGCGCAGTTACTTTGGAGTGCGTTGTTGATTATTTTTGGGGGGAGACAGGGATGCGTTTTGCTGTTCAAAATTGCTTGGATTTTAGGTGGGAATTTTGAGACTTGGTTGCCATTCGGGACCCGTCTAATTGTTGATTGGGTGCAGCGTAGCGCGCTCTCCACAATTTTAGTGACTTTACTACTTTTGTACCTTTTAAATCCTTTAGATCAAGAAAAATGGCAATTGTTATTCGATACGTACCCTACATAGCAATATACTAAAACTGATAAGACATTTGATAAGGCTACAACTTGATTTTGGTCTAATGAAAGTACAGCACGGGGGCGTACTTGCATTTTACTCGATCTGTTATATATTACGTTTTCATGTATCTATGTGCTAGAATATTATATCCAGGTAACTATCAAATATTTTACGTATGTTTGGAAGCATTTAGCAGATATCTTTCAAGTGGCAAAACTAGGTATGCTCTAATAATTGGTCATATGGTAATGTACTATACGTAAAGGAGGGCAGCTACGTAGGGATATGCCTGAGGCATCATTCTAAACATAAGACATCTGGGGAAAGACTTCTTTCTGGAAGGTAATGGATTTTTCATGCATAAAACAAGTCAGACTAAGGTTAAATAACTTATTATTTATTACCAAGTTAGGAATAGTTATAAGTGCATAAAGTTTAATTATTACCATTAAGTTGCGTTTGTGACACTTCCAGTTCCTAGATTCGCAGGTTGATTGTTAAAGAACAAGTCAAAAGCCCGAAAAGCGATAAGAGAAAGAGAATTAATGATTGGTTCAAGTTGATTTAAACTTCTTGCATATCAAATCTGACCCGAATGGGAGTAGTGGGGTCCCGTGTAAATCAAGCGCAGCTGCCCTACGGAGCGCGTTGGTACTTAGTTCTCTTTTTTTCTATTGGTCAGAATCAGCTATTTTATTTTGCGACTGGTGGGGCTGATCAGGCACGAGTTCGCGTCAATCCCGGGCTGATCTGATTCCCAGTTACCGGACCCGCCCCGTTGATATTTAAAACTGTCGCTTTTCCCCACGTCTCAATCTTTCCATCTTCCAAACATACCGCTTGCATATCAGCCTCATTTGTACCACTTGCACCAGCACCCCCAATACCAAAACACTTAACAAACTACATACTCTTCTAACCTCATTCAATATGACTGGACGTAAGTATTCAGCTTCGGCTATAATCCTTCGGCATCTAGCCTTTTCAGCTTTCAGCCTTATTAGATCGCATCGCTAACATACCTTGAATAGGCGGCAAAGGTGGCAAGGGCCTCGGCAAGGGTGGTGCCAAGCGTCATCGCAAGATTCTTCGTGACAACATCCAGGGTATTACCAAGCCCGCTATCCGACGTCTCGCTCGTCGTGGTGGTGTCAAGCGTATCTCAGCCAGTAAGTTGCATCTACTCAGTCACGTCTACGACGCGTCAGTTAACTAACGCGTTTACCCCACAGTGATCTACGAGGAGACCCGAGGTGTTCTGAAGTCCTTCCTTGAGGGTGTCATCCGTGACGCCGTTACCTACACTGAGCACGCCAAGCGCAAGACTGTCACATCTCTAGACGTTGTCTACGCTCTAAAGCGACAAGGCCGCACCCTATACGGTTTCGGTGGTTAAGCTTTCAATATTTGGTTTTGGAAGGGGTTTGGTCACGTTTATTATGAAGTCTTTTCTCGCAATTGCCACATACTAATTGCATTGTGGTTGGTCATGATGATCATGGGATTCGGTTCTGCGTTTAGGGTGTTCACTGTATCATAAGGGATTTGGGGGTCCACTACATAGATTTGTCCATCGAGGCATAATCAATTGACGAACACATAAGAACATTTAGCCGTCTTCATTTTTGTGATTGTATTGTAGTGTGTACTTGCATATTTTCAACACGATTGTATTAAACATGCTGTATCCCGTAGGCTATCCAGTTCACGTGTTTTCTATGAGTCACGTCGAAGCTATCTTTTAATCCAATGACTCATTTTGACTTGTTAGGATGCCTAGTCCAACACGTAGTAAGTGAATGATCACATGTGTGTATCCGTTATCGCAGGTAGTTATGCGTGGTCCTCTACGCAATAATATAGTCGCTTTCATACTGCCCAGATCGTCGACAATTTGTCGAGACAATTTCAAAATCTGCATGTGTCCGTAATTGTATTCATAGCAAACAAATTACAGATGCTCTTACCTTGGGTGAGACTTACATTCAACTCATTCGATATTCAGATAGCTAGTAAATCCAACATGAGAATACACTTAGAATCAGGGCTGAGTCTTAGTATGTAAAGAGGAAATTGCTTCACTATTTGATAATAAGAGGTTATTCCTAGTTAGTCTAGGTTGTCTAGTAACAAGTAGAAATACCAGGCGTTCTACAGTCCATAGATTTTCATTGCGGTATGGCAGATTTTTCGTCTAGACGCGTTTATATTTATTAATTCATAACTCTTATTTTGACTAAGAGCATCCTAGTTCGTGGAATATAAGTATGTTTATCACTTTCGATAATTCCCGAGTTTTTCCTACAATAAGTGTGTTATAATTTCAAGATGTTCCATTCATTGCAGTATATTAAATCTTTTTGATGAATTACTATATCCATTATTCTAAATATCTCCTAGTTACACTTAAATACCCTGAATCATGTTGTTGACATGATGAATAGTAAAAACACTTTAAGACTTGAGTTACTATGTATGGTTGATTAATAAGTTTACTATCTACGTGGGAAAATATATAGACAAACGTATGGACATTAAAATCATCACCTATAATATCCGTTTGCAGTTCAAATCAAGTAATAGAACACTTAACTTCTCACAACTACCGAAATATTTAATATTAAATTCTAAAGATAAATAATGTTCATTCCTCTTTTTTTCAAGCGGATGATGTTAAATTACATGTTTATGTCTCTATGCTTAGCCATAGTTAAAGGCTATTTGTCACAATAACTCTCACCATAAGAATTAAGAAATCCCATCTTGTGTATAGTGATAAATGTATTAATCTGTAAGTTAACTGTGTGGTGACATTTAACTTCGTGTTTGTATTTCCTACTACATATGAAAGTAAACGATGTCTTGATGAAAGTATTAAATTTGGTCATATTATTATTTATCCATTTTTTGAAAAAATTTATCCATAATGCAATATCTTTGATTAATTTTAGTTACCGTGTTCCATGTATACACATCCTCAACCGGTAATCTATCCCGTTATGACCTTAAATGTTAAACGTCAACCATGTTTTATATATCTAATCCTTCCATCATTATGCATATCGCGAGGCACATATCTGAATTGATGGCTTCCGACTCGTAGCTTGTTGTTAATACCTCATCATGGGGTGTAAACAGTATGAGATAATAAGCCAGGTAGTACCCCCTTTTCTAATTATCAAATGTGTCTAACTATTTCATGATCATAATGGCATACACATAATATCGATAAATTATCTCTCAGCTTACATACCTTATGAACGATACCAACGTTAAACATGGACTCCCTGCTTCGATCTGGGGTTATGTGACTGCAATATTGGCTGAGTAGATCCCATTACGTGACTCTTATGTGCGTACATAATCTTAATTCGTCTGTGCCTGAAGTAAGCCTATGATATAAGATCATACGTGGACCCTGAGGCTCTTAACATAATTATCATTATGTATTAAAGTGTAAGCTCACCATATTTGGTTGGACTTAACCTCGTGAGTCGATGTCTATTTTAGTCCACTACGTCCATACCTGGGTATCATGTGAGATAGCTAGATACTAATGATGGCCGTCTCGACTTGCCACCAGCCCCAAGTTATCATCTCACCATTGGAGGGGGGAAAAGCAATAATAATCAATGTTATATTCCAGGATATTGCGCGGAGTAAGTAGATCACACGCACCTACGTGCAACCGTAACGTAAGCATTTGAATAGCTATTCTCATCCTAGACTTATGATGGTCACGTAGATAGGTCACATAGTCACTAAGGTACCGATGCCTAACGGAGGTTACTAATATTGTTCTTATTCTCAGTAGGTAGGCACATATTGTGAGGGGGCTGCCTGGAATTGGGTTAAAATAGTTCACGGGTGTGCAGCTCGGCTAATATGGCAAATACTCCCTTCGTACCACATTTATATCGGATGTTAGAATATTCATACATGCGATTAGCATTCCACGATTAACTATTTCGCTGAAAATTTCGGTTGGAATCGTCGATCTTAGGGTATTAGCTGGGGACCGGCTCTTGTGGTGTGATCCGTTGAACTGATCGGAGCATACACAGGACACCGACCCCGGTTACAGTCCGAGGCATTATCTAAACACCCTAAATTTTTTTCCCTTTTTTTCAAGTATGGAACAGTCAGATCATCGTTTTTGGTCAGAGCCAACATAATCGTGAGTCTCAATTGGTAAGACGGAGAATTGTAGCATTGAATTAAACATGACACTGGTCATGTCGGCCTCAGCACTAGCCACACAGTACAAGACTTCTTGCTCTGTAAAAGAAAGAAAGAAGAGAAAGAGAAAGAAAATAAAAACGTGAAAGAAAAGGGGAAAAAGAAAGATCAAAATAAAAGAGAAAGAGAAAAAGAAAGAAAGAAATGCATCGTACTGTAGTTGGATTAATATGTACAGTGGCACGTGGGGATGTCGAGGGGCTGATTAGAAGTTGGCGGGGATTTCGCACTATTCACGACGCGAAAATACGCGTCTTAATACTCACTTATAGAGATGAGGCGCGTTTTATATCAACCAAGTTTCATCCAAATTTAGATTAGCATGAGCTTAATCACCAAAGTTCTCCCTAGTTACTACTGGATATAAATATTTCATTATATTTCCCTCAATATGCAGAGCTGACAATTGGCTGAATAGTTATTTCAGCTGCTTGATCAAGCGTATTCAACTTCTCCTAGGATATGCGCAATCCAACTTCTAAGATATGCACATATGTGAATCATGATGGGCTTACCATAGGTTAGAAAAACTTGTTTATTCGATACGGGGAAGCCGCTGCTATATCTGGACTTGGCTCTAATGCAAGATCTCCCAACATGAGATCGCTGACACGATGCATTGCAGATAGTACTCGGTGAAACCAAAATCGCATCTGGGGGTGGTGCATGTATCCGCTGGCGTATGCTACGACATGATATTTAGGGGTTGGTATAACCAGGTTGGTATCCTTCGAGACTGAACCCTATCTGCCCTAGGATAGGGAGTCGTGCAACACCAACTGCTTCCAAGCGGTCTCGATTCTTATTGTTGCACGAAGTCAGCACTCAAAGACGAGGCTCACGTAACCAACAGTATGGATATGACCTTCTAGACCCCTTGGTAACGATACATGGTTTGTTTCAAGTGGATATCTTGCATAGACGTGTTGTCCACGTTTACTATACTAAGACATGTGCATACATGTAAGTAGGAAGCTTATAAGTTTTTTTCAGCAGGGCGTAAAGTTGCGCATTGGGTAGTGGTATGTTGCGTTCAATTTGTCTCAACAATTTGCATATGTATAACTACAGATTTTGGAGACTAGTTGCTTAACGCTGGTGCCTTTTAGGTGCGTGCACGCAGACAGGGAACTATGCGGGGGAAAAAAAGAAACGAGAAAAAAGTCTAGATTGTACGCGGATATGTAGATGGATGGATTTTTGTAAGAACCTGCGTATGCGCTAGTCGATATGGGGTTATAACCACAGAAGCCACCGAGCCGGAGCCGACCGATCCCGTAGTATACCATAGTAGTACGGAAAATTATGGTCATGTAATGTGAATGAAAAATTCTATCTCATAAGTTGTAACGTAACTTGTCTTTGTCTAAGACTTCGTGTTCTCGAGTAGGTATCCTCATTCTTGCAGTAGTTAGTAGTTCTAGCCAGCTTGGTATGTATTCATCTCGGTCGAAGCGAGCAATAAGTTCCACGTGGGAGATCACAAAAAATTGGGGGATAATGTTTACACAAGCTGAATGTTACCTGAATGTTACTTCAGCCGCAGTAGACCGGATACCTTACCTGCTGCTTACACAACATCAAGTATGGGGATTGTGAAATCGTATTTTGAACTTTCCCATCCTTTAGACCCATGTGGCTAGATTCGTGTATCGTCAGCACTATAGGTCGGGACGGAAAGGCTGTGCTCGCTTATACATACATAGTACGTATGCTTAACCCCTGATCTCCTGTGCCGTTGACACTTGTTTGATTCCTTATTTGGCTGACACGGGTTGATGGAAAGGGTATGACAAAAGTACGGGTAGTTAAAAGCGATTATAGCCGACATCCACAATGCCAATTTCAATGGTCACGATCAATGGTTATCGCATTAAGTATCTGCGCAGTTGAGGTTTGGCCAGACTGAATTTGTATGGACATACGGGCTGTACGGGCTGCCTCCCGATCCCCACGGATATGCTTGCGGATGTTCAATATGCCGATCGGATAGGACAAATCGATCGAAGAAATATGTCTGATACATATATACAATACTTCTGATTGGATAATTTAAAACTACCTAGGTATAGTATTAGTCGGCTTCTATATCCGTGACTTCGGCTCGATGGGTATATTTGCGGACTAGCTATAGTGGACATACCTAAAGGTATATATTCATTACCTAAAGTATAATCCGCTGATTCAACTGGACAATACAAGAACGAGTGGGAAAAAAGGGAGCCTTATTGAGGGAGGGAGAACAAGCGCCGGGACAACCGATATGTAAGGTACATGCGCATACATAGCACAGCCACGCACCATGTAGAATGTTCCACAATGATAATTTTTTTCCTTTATGTTTTTCTTACCAATTGAAGGTCCAGAATCTAATTGTCTCCAGAACTACCGGTTCCAGAACCTCGGGTCTTTTTTTCTACCAACCGTAAGCGCGAACAAAATTTGAAATGGATTTGAAATGCCGGGCAGGGCAATAATAAAAAAATGCAAATTTGTTTCTAACCTTGGAAATATGTAATGTAATGCACTTGGCTCAAGTAATACAGATCTCCGAACGGCGTTCGCCGTTGTCTGTAATTATTTAGGTACCTTACCTATCTTGCTACCTAATGTAAGGTATACAAGCCACCCCGCGATTGCGAACGGGGTTTGCGTGTATCACGTGTAATGTTGATGCTGCGCTCTACCAGGTTCGGGGTCTGCGTGTAAGGCCGTATGTCACCCAAAGGGGTATATGGAGTGAGGAATAGGGCGGGTTAGTCATCTCCGGCGTACGATAGTCGCGGGAGTTAAGGATGTCGGGCTCGTCGGGGCTCGTCGGAGCGCGCTGAGACTTAAGCCGGTGTTTCCATTCCATGTAGGGCTGAATAACGCCAAGCTCGAATGCCGAAATTTGACATGATAACTTCTTCGTTTGTATGTAGGACCATTAATTCCCCGTAACACAACTAGATATTCTCATTTTTCTTTTCAATTTTGGAATTCTGCACGCCCGCATGAGGCTAAAAAAAGAAAAAATAATTTCATTATATTGCATATACCCCAGTCGTAATTAATCATAACTAATCGTGACCAAGACTCCGAAACTCCCGTTGCGCCTTATGCTTTTTTACGCCGATGCGTCGTAAACCCCGCCAACTCCATCGCGTCCGAAATGTAAGAATCACGGAGGGATGAGGATAATGCTTCGAAATATACTCATCTCGAGCGTATGACTAACTTCTCCATACGACGTTGCCGTAGATATTCTAGTATGATATTCTAATACATTTCATGATTTATTGTAGTTTATGACTATGGAACGATGGTGACTTGACTAACACGAGAGATGATCTGACTGGTACCTGACATGTGACCAATTCTCCGCGCTTGGTTCTAGATCTCACACGTGTTGTTAGATGCATCTCTCCCATGTCCGTAATTGTTCTAGGCTTGCGCCTTGTGTTTAAAACGCATGTAAAGATGATAATAGTACATATACTACCTACTTTACATACCAAACACAGTAATGATTGCTCATATCAATTTTTGGCGTTTCTGCATTTTAACCAAACCCCGTTGCGGGTCGGAAGTACTTACCTTTATCGGAGATACTCAACTGAGGACGGGAGCCTCGAACCTTTTCCTGCTGAATATCTGTGGCTCATGAATCATCTAGCCGTGGCAGTGCAGACAATGAGGTCCACCGCGGATAGCCGGGAATACATCGGAATCTAAAGAAAGTATACATCTACGTATTACCTAACCTATCAAAAGATATGGAATAGGTAAATGGTGTCTTGTAATGGCTGCGTCGGACAGGCATCGGACTAGGCAAGCCAAACTAAATGGGGAATCATGATGCAAGCCAGAGCGGGAGATAAACGAAAAAAATGAATAAAAAAAAAAAAAAAGTCTCATCGACATTTTGTACGACCCTCCCAATTGCGAGATCGACCCACATATCTATCTTGAATCATTGCAAGGTCATATACCCCTGTCCAGAGAGACCAAACTGCATACGAATCTACGTCATCTGAAAAGCCGCCAAAGCCAAAGCCAGGGTCCCTTGTAGACCCGCACCCATTACACATCATGTACCACTGAATGTATCATTTTTTCCACAGCGCTCTACTTTCATTCTCAACTTACGCCAACTACCTACATGTATACACCCTGACCATAGAGGGCGTCGAATCAGCATCCGCACGTGTATTCCTCCAAGTTGGGGATGAATAATGCCCTTCAAGATGTATACTCTTGCATGTATAAGTGTGTCAACAATACGGATCATATATCCCGCTGGCTGAACAATAAATATCATCATCAAGTACCGTCTTATTTTACAACTACCCATCCATCTCAAGACAAACAAGACAGAACACAGCATACAGACCGACCAAAATCCGATATACATATAATCGACCTTGGCTGAATTACCATATAGAGACTAGTTACGGACAGTAGGCTAAAGGCCGATCCGGACAAGCAGATCGAGAACAAAGAGGTGCAATCCTAAGCCAATAATTTGGTTGGACCACATGACCTAGCGCTTCATTATCAAGCCATCATCGTTTCTCTCCTCTGCCACCTGACTATTACTCATCAGATTCGGGAGGGAAGAAAGAGAACAGAGACATATACAGAGAGGATTATCAATTTACCAAAGGATAGTCTCTTTCTCGATTAAGTGACTTAGCCGGTCCTCGTCGTTCCTGTTCCCAATAAGGTTAATTGGAGGACCCTCTATCAAGGTTTACTTTGTCATAGTTTCCTCGGAGGTAGAAGAAGGAAAGAAAGGAATTGGGAAAAAAAGCCAAGGAAGCTAAGGAAAGCTAAGGAAAGCTAAGGTTCCTTGTACCTAAGGTATTTTGGTACCTTTTCTATACCCCAGTCGGTCCCCTCCAACCCTGGTCTTCAATAATCCGGGTGTCAGTCAATTAAGACCCCTCCGTATTTAAGTCATTATCTTCGCCACATCTCTACCTTCCACCCCACACTCCATCATTCTACCCGAACTAATACATATCATTACAGCATTACAGTATTACATACCTATTTTACATCCAACTACAATACTTACATTACTTGGATTTCCCTCTTAATTTCTTTGACTACCGATTACAACCAAAAACTCAAAACTTAAAACATTACTCGACGACTGTTCGTTCGACCGACCCCATCGCATCGTCACACAATATGATGCAGATGCTTGATCACAATAGCTATTCATCAAGAAACCACCAACCTTTCCAGTTCTTTCCCCAGCAAACTCTCGACGGCACCTCGAGTACGAATAACGGCTTTAACCGGTCAACACTCTCAACATTAGATACTGCCGCCGCCGCCATCGCCGCTTCTCAGCGACACAGGACGCCTGCGACATCCTCGTCGCAACAGAGCTTTGAGGGGGGAAGCAACAGCCAAAGTCTGACCCAGGTTCCCGACTTGATGCCGTCAGACTCGTGGATGCTTCACGGTAGTCAACAAACCCCTAGAGCAGCACATCGCTTTAGTCATCAGCGCGAATCCTCTCTCTCGTCGCTAGGATCCAACGGTCCAGCATCGCCATACAATGCCAGTACATCGAATCCGCATATCGCTGTCCCCGATTCAGGGAATGACGGGTATCACGACATAGGAGGTGGCGAAAACAACTACGCATACAGCATGGGAAAGCCTATGATGCCTGATAATTTCTACGCCAACGCCTTGTTCAACAACCGCGACAGCAATATTACTAATGGTAACAGTAATAACTACCACAATAACCGTAATATCATCAGCGGTCAGCATATGTCGCGCGATGTATCCTCGGTTGATGGCTTGCCAAACCTAGCGAATCAGCAGCAACACAAGTCAAGGGTTGACCGAGGCTTAGCCCCGGCTCCCGAGTTATCAATTGGTGGTGGTGCTTCTTCTGCTAGATCTCACCCAGTTTCGGTGGCGAGTTCAGTTGCAGGTGACTCACCCGCGACACCGTCTTTCCACGAGACCGAAGACGATTGCCGAAGATCAAGGAATGGTGAGGCCTCCATTATATCGCCCTTTCTGTGCGATTCCGATCCTGACTTTGACAACTACTTACAACTTTTTGATGACGCAGTTTTTCACAACCCACAAGTTCCTAAGTTAGATCGCACTATGACCGACATCTATAACGACGAGCTTTATAACCCAAACTTTACCATAACGTCAGCTTCTCCACCGCCTCAGACACAGATGGCGATGTCGCCAAGTAACGACTTGTTCGCTCAGAGACTCCAGGCCGCCAACAGTCAACATCTGAGCGTAGTACAATCGCCTGTCTCGAGCACATCGCGAGATGACCAGTCTCCATTCAGACAGGGCTCACCGTACGCCTCCGCTATCAACGATTTCCCTCAGGTGGGTGTGGAGCAGATGCACATCGGATCGGCTCGACAGATGAACCAGCGGCTGAAGGCTGAACGAGACGACAAGGAACTACAGCAACAAATGGCGCGCAACTCTGCGCAGCAGCAAGGAACACCAAACACGATCTCGCCAAAGGATGCGATGCTTGACTTCAACGAGTCGGATGATGGTTCTAACATGCCGCTATTTCAGCCGCATGAGACCAGCAGTTACAGCATGGAGCCTACGAACAACGGGGCCACACATACAGCGTCTAGGACCATCTCTCAACATTCAAGCCCATCTTTCCAGTCAATGGCGTCGACACCAATACAGGCCGCATTTAACTTCTCTATGCCGAGCAATATACAGATGCCACAACAGTATCCTTTCATTGCGCACCGACAACAGCAACAGCGCTCGACCCCTACAGCCTCGACATATTCAAGGGTGAGCTCGACCGAAGCCAGCAACTCAGAGGGTGGCGATATCCCAAGCCAGAAACCAGCTGGGTCTGGTGCGGATGGAGGTACTTACACTTGTACGTATCATGGGTGTACGCTACGGTTTGAGACGCCAGCATTACTACAAAAGCACAAGCGCGAGGGGCATCGACAAGCCAATGCCTTAAGCCACGTCAGGTCATCCCCGACAACAACGAGTGGAATGTCTGGCAACGTACTCAACAGTCAGGCTGGGCCGCACAAGTGCGAGAGGATAAACCCGAGCACGGGAAAGCCATGCAATACGATATTCTCTAGGCCTTACGATCTTACGCGACACGAAGATACGATTCACAATGCACGTAAGCAAAAAGTCCGCTGCGACCTCTGTACGGAAGAGAAGACATTTAGTCGGGCAGATGCGCTTACAAGGCATTACCGCGTCTGCCACCCGGATGTGGAATTTCCGGGCAAGCATCGGAGACGTGGTGGTGTTGGCATATGAGCTGGCGCATAATGAAGCCTAAACTCGCACTCTTTTGCAACGTATGCCATATGCACTGCCCAAGGCAGTCAAATGGCAGTGCGAAGTACGGGCTAGAAGGTTCCTTAGTTCCTTGGTTCCATGGTTGGAGGAAGTATTTTCGAATGCCGTTCGAATGGTACTCGAATGGTCTGGAAGCAGGGCGGACCCAATTCAATGCCCAATGCCAATGCAAAACCGAGGTGTAGCGAGTGGGGTTCCGTTGACGTTGGAAGATAGGTTCGATATCAAGGGTCCAACGTCAATCTGCAGGGACCTGCGGGCTAACGAATGCATCTGGCTATTTGCGGCATGGATCGCGCCTAGCGGTGGTCCGGCTTCTAACTTGGGCTATAAACCGTGCTGATCAATTAGGACCCTTGGGTTGGGGCCCGACTGCTGTCCCCGCAGCACTCATGACTGGCTAGCGACTGGACGCTAGCTGTATGACGTCTCCCTATGACGTCATATTTGGGAACTTCAGGGCTTTTGGGCGTGGACCGCCGAGTGCTACAGCATCACCACCTACATCATATTCCATTTCGCTTATCGTGGTTTTGCATCATTGACATAATTTTTCTGGTACATTCTACCGGAACGATTTACCCTCGATTCCGTTTCCGCTTCCTGACGAACTTCCATGCAACCATGATTACTGTCGTCAGATCGGTTCGGTTCCTGTGGGACATGCATGATGCTGTTTCGCATCTGTCATCACTATGCATTCGACTTCGAACTATTTGGGTAGTCGGCAGGTAAACTAGGCGTCACTATTACTCGGCTCGGGAAGCGAGATTGAAATGATAAGGGATGAAATTCAAGGTTCCTTATCTATTTCTCCTTATATTTCCTTATTTCGTCATTCCATGTATTTCTTACGGGGTTTACGGGGCTACGGGTCCGGGCACCTTATAGACTTGGGAAGGAAAGAAAATTGCCGGAATCGGATCAGCAATGATTTTTTTTTGTTTGCTTTCAACTCAGCCCTACACTTATTTTTTAATGGTTCTTTCGTCTGTATAATTTTCGTCTCTGCCGTCAATTAGGCAGTATCTATTATCTTACACCTATTGCACTTGCTAGGTGCTGTACGATTCCGGCCGGGAAACAAAAAGCGAGAGAGAGAGTATTTACATAGGCTTCGTTGCAAATGATTAGGGAGAGGAGGTACGATGAGACGAATATTTTAAATTACGACTGTATGATCAGCGGGTGTATTCTTTTTTGTTTTTTTCATTGTTTATTTCACAGCAACATATACATATCACTGGGTGGTACGCAGGATCATAAAAGGGGGACAGGACGACATGTCGGCAGACAGAAAAAGATTGTACTATGAATACCTATGATAGGGGGATGACGGCATGGTTGAAAATTCGAGAGCCGATGGGAGCTCTGTCAAAAAATACCAGTTCGATATTATAGAATTAATGACCCTGCGAAGGTACTCTACATATTAATACTACCAGCCTGAGTCTTGTGTAGCATATTTGTCTCTTGCATTTATTAAGAATGTGTGCACATAACTATACTTTTTTACCTAATATTAATTGTGATGATATATATTTTATTTTTATTTTCAATTTGAGGGTGAATGATATATGGTGCCTCTCGCGTGTATGCATACGATACGATACGGTAATGATACGTGTCTGATGCTGGCTGTTTTGGTAGGTTAGGTACCTAGATTAAGCTTATAATTTAGGGCGCGCGGACCTAACGGATGGAATCAACCGTAGTTTGTGTTCCTTGGCATTGGAACCTCGGTGTAGAGTGGATTTTCTGCCCGGTAGAATGGGTTGGCTTTTATTTGTTTGCTTTTGTTACATTAGATTAATGTAGGTAGGTTTGCTGCTGTTGTTGTTGCTTTATGGTTCTGATTTTGCTTTTTTCCTTTTTTGTTTTTATGATCCTTGCGTGGTTGTGGTGATATGTCTTATGATGTTGTTGCTGTTGTTGTTGTTGGGTTTGGGGTATAAGTGAGGTACCTACTTGGACTTACATATGCGCCGTATCCGAGGCCATGTAGGTACCTCTTAATCTGTCATTTTCCAATTGATCTGTTTACACTACATTAGGTATCTATCCTAACCTGCTGCTGCTGCTGCTATGTTACCTACCTACATAGGTGCGCATCATATAGGTATGTACGCATATATATGTCATGTACGTGTATAGTATATATATATATAATTATATAAGTTATATATGGTATATATGGTATATATGAGGTATTCACATCGTCGTCCGGCTATCAACAATAATTGCCGCAAATGCAGCAAGATTGGGGGACTGGTAGCGGACGTCTCCACGTATGTAATGTATATATCAAGACGCGTCGAATGGATGCTGCCGAGGTTGGTTGGTTTATTGGCGATGCGATGCGATTGCGTTGGACTGGACTGGAGTTGCTGGGAAGTAAGCAAGCAGGCAAGCAGAAGCAAAGCAAAATAGAATAGAGCTACCTAGCTTAAGGCATGGATGCCATGTTGTAATGCTGTATGTTGTATGTTGTATGCCGTATGCCGTATGTACGTGCATGGCGCAAATGATAATATCCAGATAATGTACCTAGGTACCTAATGTATGTATGTACAGGTAGCCCGCCGTTAGGTATCATCTTACCCTACCTCCATACTTCCATCCAGCGGGTAAGAATAAAAAATAAAAAAGACAAAGATAAAAATAAAAAGCAGAAAAAAGACAGTTGCTTAGAAATGATTAGTGACATCCTGCTTCATGCACGTATAAGCAAGTTTTTAATACATATTATCTTTTTATCTATATATTTACTGCGTGGTGTATCTGAGATACGACTTGTACCATACATAGATGTAATAAGGTCAACTAGGTACTTACGCTCTACTTTGGGAGCTACATATATGACAAGGTATGAGGTAGCTTTAGTTCAATGCTGCGTTGCGTTACGTTCGTATACTTACCTACATAACATACATAACATACCTACATAATCCCATCAAGGCTACTGCACGACATGCATGTTCGTTGCATAACCCCGAGGCGCCAACGACGTCACCGAACATGACCAACAGGGGTCCAAACTTAGAAATGTCGTCGCTCTGCGTTTTTACTCCCCCCACCTCCCCCTTTCCACCTGCTGCCCTCTAGCTCGTATACTGGCTGCGGCTTGCAAATGAAAAATAAATAAATAAAAATAAATCAACAAGCTGCAGAATAGGCCGAATAGGCAAACGGAAGCGTTCATCGAGGCGCGGTTTCGGCCTGCGGTTCCCTTCGGTATAACCGATACCTATACAGGTATAGCCATAACAAAGTAAAGTACGGGTTAATAGTAAAAGTCTTATTCGTGTTGAGTCGGCTATCATAGCGTAACTGTACTTTTGTCAGCTAGTTATCCATCCTTTACTCTCGTTGGCTCGTTTGTTCTAGAATCTACTCGGCATTAGCCGAAGCCACCCGGCCGGAGCGGAATTGAAGATCCGGCCTCGCTTAGATGGAAGCTCGGTTCAATAGGTACTTCTAGGTACATCTGTCAAATTTAGCCACATGTGAAAATGACAGGGGGGCTATGTGGCTTGATCAGGGACGAGACGGGACCATATGTGGCGGTGTTTCTATAACACGAATCAACACGTAGCATCAACAAGGACGTCGCCTCAACAATTTAAATACTGCTGCCTAGATATATACTCTGCTTCCAAGTCATACATACTTACATGTGAGAGACACACACGCGGCTATCCGCCTCCCGCCACGTGCTGTAAATATGTATGTGCTTCGCCGCAACACTACGCAAATCCATGTTATACAAGGGTTATACAAGGGTCGGTCATAGATCTAAAACCATCCTCTCGGATAGATCTCGCCTCCGACTAGTCAGTTGACCACTATGTACTATACGACTTCAAAAGAACGAAACCGAAAATTCTATAGTTGATTTGAGGCAGCCCACTCGGATAATGCGGATTTTTGGTACTCCTATTATCCTTGGTGCTCCAGGCAGCATTTTGCCCCTATTATAGGGATGACGAATTCCCTGGAGCCCCAATGTAGAAACAGTTCTATGATGTAAATTAATAAATATATCAGATATTATCATGAGGCTTTGGAAATTTTTATATATTTATGGGGCTATATGAAGCAACCTGATCACGTAGTCTACCTCTTTTGGAAACTTATATGGCATGACAGTAATGTCGTTCAGCTGGAAGCGGCGGGCTGATTTTCACCATCGCCCAGTACAGCCGTGCGTACATCGGAGAACAGGGGTACAATACCTGTCCAGAGTTGGAACTGTAGGCAAACTTCGTTAGCAACATAGACACATAATCATAGCTAGGTTAGTGCTGTTGTAGATTCTCACGTACCTGGTAATAGCCTTGGGAGGCGAGCACCTCCAGACCAGGAATAGTAGCCCATCCCGAGTTCTCAGCCAACTCCATCAATGGCGTACGGCGAGGCTTGTAAGCCATCTCTAATAAAACTCGTGGGCCTTCGATATTCTTAGTCTGTTGCAACAGGGTTGTCAATAGTTCCCACATCGAATTATCGATAGGCTTGTCTGCGGGCACTGTGCTAATGATGACGTTTGGTAGCTTGTGTACCTGGCTAGCTTCGGCTACCTGCTCGATCTTGATGTTGTCACGGAATGACGAAGACGAACGAAGATAGTCTGCAGCATTAGGGTTTCGTGCGACGACGTAGATAGGGCTGTATCCGAGGGAGTGCAGGGCGTATATAGCTGCTCGGCTAGTACCACCAGAGCCTACCACCATTGCACCGCCTTCCGTTGATTCCGTTGCTGTCACCAATCCAGCCGACCGCAGTGAATAGACCATGCCACGCCAGTCTGTGTTATCACCGAGCAAGCGCGGTTCCGATCCATCCTGCGAAGGTATAGGTATTACTGTATTCACAGCACCAATGGCAGTGGCCGACTCCGAGATCTCATCAAGTAGCGGCATGATGTCAAGCTTTAATGGAATCGTGACTGACGCTCCCCCAAAATCAGGTGATTTGATTGTTTTTATCACGTCTGTGGCAGAAGAAGTTTCGAATAGAGAGTACTTATGAGGCAACCCAGATTGGCGGAATAGGCTGTTGTGCAGAGCCGGTGACCGCGACGCAGAAATCGGGTTTCCAATAAGGTAGAACCGCTTAGGCTCAATTTCCCCGATTAGAGCTAGGCCGCTGCGGATCTCAGCGGCTGATAATTGGCCAGGAGCTGCTTTGAATGGTAGGTCAGGATGTGAGACAGGCGTTAAGAAGCCATTCAATATCCGGGAGAGCTTCCCAACGGTGCCCATGTTGAGAGCTATGATCGGCTTCCCGTGTGCAGCAAACATCCTGTCCTTAAAGGTAGCCAACGAGTAATTGTCTTCTAATTTGTTCGCGACACCTACGAGCTTGATGATGTCACCGTATTGTAAAGCTCGGTTGTACCACGTTTGCCAACCGCCATTCCTCCAGGACAACTTACCCTCTGGGTCATGGTGTGACGCGATAATCCGTGTAGATTTACCTAGAGACTGGATAATTGTATCTAGAGTTTCATCCGAAAGCGTCATCTCGAGGTCGACATATTCCACTCCTGTACGTGCTGCCGTTTGGTATAGGGTAAGCAACTCCTTTTCAGATGTATAGCTAAAACGACCACCTTGGGAGTTAGATCGGACCGTGAATATGATCGGTATTTTTGCGGTAGAGCGTAGAAGTGAGATCTGTTTTCCTACTGATTCCGGGGAGATGTCGTCAAGTAGATCAACTCGTAATTCCACAGCGTCCGCACCAACTACAACTCGCGGGATCACATCCAGCGCTGATGATACGCTGGGCACAGTTAGGGACACAAAAAAGGACTGTCGCTTCTTCTTGGCATCCTCAAGATGATTACCTCTCCCAGTAATTGCTAATACGAATCGGGAAAAGTCGGCAGGGATGTCTTGGAGACCTCCGGGAGAATCAAGGTAAGGACTGTGGTATTCGTAGTTACTGCATTCTTGGAAGAAGGGCTTGCGTCGCTCGTATACGCCTCGTATCTCCTCGGTGTAAGCAGGACGTGTCTTATCCCGTGTTAAATATTCTACCCATTTGCTCGATGTCGCGATTAACAAGGAGAACTACACCGCCATTGCGATGGTAAGAAATGAGTAACTCCCGAGCCTCGGGAGTCTCAACTATGCCACCACCACAAGAAAAGACGTGGCCCCGGCCTTGGTTCTTGATGACATCCTTTAGAAGCTCGAGCTCGTCACTCCTGAAGCCTTCCCAGCCCCGACCACTTTCCTGTATAATCTGAGGGATTGTCATGCCAGCTCGTCGTTCCAATTCATGATCAAGATCAATAAAAGGGCGTTTGAGTATGTTGGCGACCCAGCGACCTGTCGTAGTCTTTCCGGCGCCTCGCATACCGATAATGAAGATAGAAGACCCAGTCTCAGCTTGCTTTGCTTTCTTGTGAGATGTAGGCACAACGTCATCGCCCTCCAGGCCAGCCCCGAATGACTGGGCTAACACATCCCACCAGCCGGGCCACGTCTTTCCGGTGCATTCGCGTTCTAGGATTAGGACAGGCCCCGGTGCTATTATGGAAATGACGCTGAAGCTCATTGCCACGCGATGGTCGTCATAACAGTAAATACCCTCGCTCGGTTTTGAAAGTTCCGTCAACTTCTTACCGGCAATGACAATACCGTCCTCAAGCTCACTACAATGTACACCAAATTTCGCGAGCTGCTCCCTCATTGCTGCGATACGATTGCACTCTTTGACGCGTTGGTTGGCAATTCCAGTGATCCGCGTCTCACCAGATGCTACCGCTGCAAGAACGGATGCAGTCAAGAAAGCATCAGTCATAGGCTCCATATCGACTTCAATACCCTTCAAGCTGCCTGGGCTCGGCCCAGTCACTGTCGTTGACGTAGCAGTCTGTTCCACAGTGCATCCCATGGGACGTAGCACATCGGTTGCGAAACGGGCGTCGCCCTGCAGTGAACTTGCGCCGATATTTGGGATCGTACAGGTAGTCCCGGTTATGGCTGCAACTGCGAGAGGGTACGTTGCTGAGCTCGCGTCGCTTTCTACAACATATTCATCTGGGTTTTTGTATACACCCTGAGGAATATGGTACGTGTGTGGTTCGTCGGCCGATTTTGTAACAGTAACACCAAACGACTTCATCATGGCGATAGTCATATCGATATAGAGTTGTGATATTGGCTTGCCACCCACCAAGCGAAGAGTCACGGGCTTCTTGGCATACGGAGCGCACATTAGGAGTGACGAAACATATTGGGATGAAATCGTAGCAGCGAGTTCAATGACACCTCCATCTAGCCCACCAGCAGCATCAACTTGTACTGGGAGACTGTGTTCCTGTCCAAGGTATTTGATATTGATACCGTTTGATCGTAGGGCATCAACGAGGGGGCCTATGGGTCTGACCTTCATCCTAGCATTTCCGGTTAGGACAGTCGAAGTCGCGGTTGAAGGCGAGCACAAAGCGACTACTGTTGTTAAGAAACGAGAAGCCGTGCCCGCATTCCCGAGGTAGAGAGGTTCGTCACTCGCTTGTAGTTGTCCGCCTTGTCCTGTAACCACGAGGACTTCGCCAGCGTCCTCCCACGAGTAGGAGGCCCCATTGAGTTTGGCGATTGCCGACAACATGTACTCGGTATCATCTGAGTGGAGAAGATTCTTGACTCGGCAAGTTCCTTGACCAAGTGCAGCAAGTACCAGAGCCCGGTTAGAGATGCTCTTGGATCCAGGAGGGGTTACCTGCACATTGAGTCCTTGAGGTACTCCCGGCTTGACGCGAATAGCAGGGGAGAGAACAACTCTAATAGCACTATCATCGACTACGCTAGCGCGAGGCTCATGTGTTTGACCTACGGCAGATAGAAGCACAATCTTCTTCTTCTTCCCTTCGTTCTTCTTATCTACGGCCATCTTCTCAAGTAGTACGTCAACAGGGCATTTCTTACCGGCCGTTAACTTCACAATACGCTTGTCATGGAGGGAGGTCGGTAAGTCGTAGCTTGCAATACACTTAACCAGCCGAGCTACTGCTCCAGGCCGTAAAACGCCAAGGTAACGAGCTAGTTCAGCCTCCTTAACCATTCCAATAGCTACAGCTTCACCGTGCAAGACCTGAGGTGTGAGAATTGCCTCGTACGCATGACCAATGGAGTGACCGAAGTTAAGGAGGTTTCGTAGGCCGCCCTCCTTTTCATCTTTGGAGACAACTTCGGCCTTGACGCGAGCAGAGGCGAGAACGATGCGCTTGAGTATGGCTCGAATTGGAAGTAACCTATCACTAGGGTTGGCAGTCTTGGATCGAATAGTGCTTAAGATTAAAGCAGCATTTTCTTCTAGGGCCGTAAACTCAGACTCATTCCAGATAGCAGCTGTCTTAACCACCTCGGCCATGCCATTAATGAACTCGCGTACTGGGAGGGTTTCGAGGAAAGCGAGATCAATGTAGATGCGCCGGGGCTGCCAGAACGATCCAATAAGGTTTTTGCCCATAGGGGTATCGATGGCAGTCTTGCCGCCAATAGACGAGTCGACCATAGCAAGTAGGGTGGTAGGAACCTGAACAAAGCGGACGCCGCGCATGAAAGTGGCGGCAACGTAACCGATCATGTCACCAATAACACCACCACCCAGAGCAATGATGACTGTATCCCTCGTGCATTGTTCGGAGAGCATCCAATCCTCTATTTCAGCTTTAGTCTCACGACTTTTAGAAGTTTCACCCGGGGGAATTGTATAGGTAAGAAGTCGAGACTGTAGGCCTCGAGCCTCGACGGCTTTATTGAAAATGTCCACGAAAGGAGGAACATAGCGATCATGGAGATTAGTATCGGTAATAAGAATATAGGTAGAGGATTTGATGTTCTCGAGAAGGTCTTCAGAAACGAAAGATCGCCAGATGTCGTGGTCGACAATGATAGAGTCGGATCCAAGAATAGAGATTCGGGTTGGACCCGACGCAGTGCTGGCCTGATCAGTCATTGTGCTGCTGTAACACTAATGACGATCAGTGTAATCCGAATCAAATTGTCGTCTGTGACTGATAAGCCTTGTTAGGTGTAAGGCTGAAAAGGAAGCGTTTATACCATACGGGGTATCAAGGATAATGACAGGGGATCCCGAATGGAGTCAAGTCAGTCCACTTGATCTGGAGGAATTCGAGGAATTCTAGATAGAATTGGTCATTTACACCATGAGATGAGAGAATACACCTAATAAGAGGTGTGTTTCCTTTTGAATCTATGGAAACATGGAATGAATAAACTATCACCTCTAAATCAATTAGAAAGGTGCTTCAGTTTGAACAATGAAGTTTGCTATAGTATGAGTCGACGCTTTGAGCTAGGGTCCGAAGCGGTCCCTGAACCATAAAAATTTTGGTTTGTTCTTCGTAGAATCTTTGTGGTTAAAATGCAAATTGGCCAATAGAATTTCAGGTATGTAACTTGTAATTCCTCGTGGCAATGAAGGCACGACTCCGATATGCGGGGCAAGGGTAGAGGGGCTTAAGAGCTTGATAAATGGTTAAGTGTGTTTTAATTATTAATATTGTTATAGACGGCTATAATCAACTAAACGTAAATCGAAATTTGATAAACATTGCTTCACGATAAGCGACGACATAACTCTAAAACTTTATCCTTATTCTTACCTAACCTTATTACGTTAAGTATACCTAGGTACCTACCTATTGAGTATATCTCCTGCCAGGTGTTTGATGATTCTCAGTTCTTGACATTGGATATACTGGGAAATATTCCATATAACTACCGGAAGGGGGTTTTTTTTTTTAAGAAATAAAAGAAGAACTCTACGGAAACTCAACGTTTAATAGGCGGTATGCTTCATTTATATTTCTTTAGCCGCGTTTATATACCAATCGGAGGAAACGCGTCGTACTCGGTGATAATAGATCCGAACGTTGCTTACTGAGGCCATTGCTTTGAACGTCTATTATACCAAACCCCGATTACGCGCCGCGAATACCTACACAGAAATTCGAATCCGAACCCGAACCCGGGATTTGTTTATATCTCACTCGGAGCATAACGGATGTTGCTCTTCGCGAAGCTTACTAACATCCACGTTACTGAGACATTTGTGTATGTATTTTTTTCTGAGTTCATTTCCCCTGAGAAATACGTAAAGTCGGTCAAGATACAAATAAAAGACTGGAATTCATACCTGGTATCATTTACATAAGCACATGGTAGTTTACGAGCAGACGAGTTAAACCATGACGGGGGTATTTAATAAATGCAACTGAGCCTAACCTGCTTTGTAGACCCCCAAGGGTTATCTTTCCACCTGGATTGGCAAGTCCGCGACGGATGGATCCCGCCGTTTCGCGCCTTTTTTTTTTTTCTTTAATGGGTTGTAAGTGGGGTTTGTTAAATGACTAAATGATGAGGTTGGAGTAGTCGTCGGAGATATCTTGGTTTATTTAGGAATGGCGAGCCCAGTTCTCTGTTGGCCTCTATTTCTTTATTGTCGTGTACTTCGTATGATATTGTCTTTTGTTGATTACGTAGCAATCCGCCAATAAAGATTAGCAATTCCGAGGGTTGCTATTGCTCCGCTAATCCGAAATCGCTATTAACGTGAAGCCGGAAAACCCTTCACCGGCGCCGGCTTGTCCCGTAGTTCGTGTAACAAAATAGTATAGCTTCCGGCATGGATAGACTTCCGATCGAGTCGGAGAAGTCCGAGACCGATTCCCAACCGGGCACCGATCCGGTCAGCAGACAGGAGTCTATCGCGGAGCCTACCATATCTCGTATACGCTCATCTGTCGCTCGTGTACGATCAAATAATGGTCACGGATGCGCCGACCTGGAAGAAGACGACTCGACTGATGATACACTCACACCTGACCAGCGTCAGATTGAAAAGGATCCCTTCGAGGTATCTTGGGACGGCGATCATGATCCTTTCTGTCCCCGGAGCATGACTATAGTCCGCAAATGGCTGACTGTAATAACTGTTGGTATGGGAAGTCTTTGTGTGTAAGTGTACTCTGGAGCCTACTCAACCTCGAATATATTCTAACGACAAATAGGACCTGTGCGAGTTCTATTTACGCGTCAACGTATGGTCAAATGAACCCGGAGTTCCACGTATCGAGTATTGTTGGTACCCTCGGTCTATCACTCTTCGTTCTCGGTAGTATGTTATTCGCTAGAGCGCCCTTAGGTTGTCTTTGCTAAATTCCAACTTCAGTTGCCCTTGGTCCCCTTCTCATGAGCCCATTGAGTGAGTTCGTAGGGAGGCGGCCGATTTATATTGCCTCATGGGCTATGTTTCTGATATGGTTAATACCAAGTGCCGTGGCACGTAATATGGCGACCATGCTAGTGGTATGTTTACTTAGGAAACGTGAAGCACCTCTGATTTTATTATAACGGTAGGCTGATGTTGTTTAGGCACGGTTTATCGACGGGTTTGCTGGAAGCTCATTCCTTAGCGTCGCTGGTGGCACGGTCAGCGATATGTTCAGACGAGATCAGATCCAGGCGCCAATGGTTATTGTATCTTTAAGTCCCTTTATCGGTTAGTGATCGTCGGTCTATAGATATTCATACAGACCAATACTAATAAGTTGCAGGTCCTAGCTTAGGTCCTCTACTCGGTGGATTTATCAACTACAACACAACTTGGAGGTGGACGTACTACGTATGTTTTTGAATCTAACCTCAAGCCTTGTTTGATAAGGCCTACGTTGCTAACTTTTGAATCTTGATAGGCAATGATCATCTGGGCCTTCTTTGAGTTGGCCATGATTCTTATTTTCGCACCAGAGACATATCGTACGTGATCATAAAGTATATTACCCAGATTTATGAGCGTTAACAATAATTTAGATCCCATTAGACTCCGCGAGAAAGCTAAAAAACTAAGAAAAGAGACCGGCGACGATCGATGGAAGTCACCGATGGAGAAATCGACCAAGTCCGTAGCAGTGACCATTGGACATTCCCTCCTACGACCATTTGAGTTACTGATATTTGAGCCAATGTGTCTATTGCTCTGCCTATTTTCTGCCATCTTGTTGGGAGTCCTATACCTGTTCTTCGGGGCGTTCCCCCTAGTCTTTGGTAATACTTACGGTTTCAATCTTTGGCAAACCGGTCTGAGCTTCCTCGGAATCTTTACAGGAATGATCATCGCAGCTGCAAGTGACCCCATATGGCGGCGTGTTAACCAGCGGCTTTTGGACGAAAATGACGGCATCCCTGAACCTGAATTCCGACTGCCACCAGCAATTGCAGGTGCCGTCATGGTTCCTATTGGGCTTTTCATATTTGCTTGGACCGCATATCCTTGGGTCCATTGGATGGGACCTATCATTGGATCTGCTATATTTGGTTTAGGTACACTCTTGGTATTTACCGGAATATTCACCTTCCTTGGTAAGTTGGAGAAGCCCACGAGACTGAAATTTATAGATTTCACGACTAACGGATAATTGTAACAGTGGATGCGTACCCACGCTACGCTGCTTCGGCCCTTGCTGCCAACAGCTTCGCTAGGTGTACTTTTGCTGGTAAGTTGAGACCCAGAAATGAATAGTCCTTGATACATATCATCCAACTAACCTAACCTTTCAATAGCCGCATTTCCCCTTTTCGGAATACAGATGTATAATAAACTTGGTTACCAATGGGGATCTAGCTTGTTAGCATTCCTTACAGTGGCGATGATGCCTTTTCCGTACCTGTTCTTCCGATATGGAAAGCAGATCCGAAAGACAAGCAGGTTTGCTAGTTAAGAGATGGATACGCATAGTTTATGACCTGAATTGATATGAGAGATGGCACAAAAAGTTTAATGCGAATAACGATACGAAATAACTAGAAGTAAATACACTTAATAAATGATGTACCATGCTACTAATATTTATTACTCTTACTACCTCTACTTATCTTTCCCTAGGATAGTCTTACTCGAGTAACGGTGCTTCATCTAGACCGAAAAATGAGTATCCAGGTAACTATCTTCTCATAAGACTACACACATCTCAAAACAAGGCTAACTTGACTGAAGATATAACGATTATTTGACATATTAAATTACGATTAAGCTATGGTAATGAGTCATAGCGTTGATTGTAGACCTGAGCTGCTCGTAGGTCATATGTTTGGCCTCGATGAGACTGAAATGATAATAGTCACGGAAATGTTTTCCGTCTGAATTCCATGTTAGCCAACTGGAAACAGGTGTGATATCTATCACCTCGTAGTGACTCTATTAGGAACCAACTCATTAATGATAACTTCACAACCGCTATCCAGCTCCGTGACTGGCAATATTTTACCAGGCTGGTAGTACTCGATGAGCTGTGAATAGTCGATACTTCAAAATAAATAGCTCCTTCCTCTACTAATTCGTGGAGGTTTTCGTACACCTCATATGATTGTTGCATAGCAACAGAAAGTTCCACCCAACCTGTGTTTTTACTTAGACAAGCCTGTCATATTTCTTTCTGTCCCCCCCTTAGGGTTAACACTGTCCTTTCTTTCCTTCCCATTGCCTGTCTAAACTCGGCATTAAGAGGTTCCTATCCAGAGGTTCTTTGATCCAAGAACGTTATGTCGGGGTTGAATTTCCAACCTGCTGTACCCGGCAGCATGGTTCACATCATGGGCATCCAATGGCCTCCCGTCAGGCCTAGTATCGGTCCGTTTGAGCGTGATATTTCCTTGGAAATCGAGTGCTTGTGTGGTAAAGTCCGTATACCACTAAATAAAAACTCCTCCATAGGAAATATATGCTAACAACGTGCTTTCGTAGATTTCCGCTACAATTCACGGTCATGTCCCCCTTCATGTGAGTTGTTTTTTTATAACTCCATGCGCCAGAGACTTTGGAACTGACTTGGAATTAGCGCATCTGCCATTGCCGCGAGTGCAAGAAAATTACCGGTGGAACCCACGGCGATTTCTTGCTCGTTCGGAACAATAGCATGCTCACTTGGAAGTGTAACACTGGTAAGCTCTTTATATTCCCTGCGGCTTTCCATATATGCTCCCTACGCCACGTTAAGAGGACCCGTACTCATGCCCATGTAGCAGAATTGAAGGCTTTCTCCTACTATGTCGGAGAGGAAGAAACAGAGAACAACGTCAAGGACGTCTTCCGTTGTCCCACTTGTTTTACTCCCATTTTTATCGGTCAAGGAAACCCAAATTCCAATATAATGCTGTTCTTCGTCGGCTGTCTCGCTGACCCCACGTGGCTGGATGACCACAAGCCCGATTCCGAGACTGTCACGGGAGACAGGTGCGCTTGGCTACCGCTTATAGCTCCACCCTCGGCTCCATCCCCCGGGCCGCAGCCGAAGTTAGAGTAGAAGGATATCGAAATGGCGTCTCTGGAGGAATATTAAGTTAATTGGAGATCTCGTTGCCCTAAGTCGCGGACCTAAATAACGATGTGTCTTGGTCGCGTGACGTATACATTAATAATGTAAAATCTTCTCTTCGTAACCTCTTGCTTTATCTTCATGTAGGTAGGATCGGCTTCGCATCGGCTTTATCGTTCGGTTTGGTCGCATACGACCTGCGAGGAATGCAATAGATGATGTGATAGCAATACAAATAGACAAGATAGCCAATATTCATAATGCATATCATATCGTCGCTGATATTCACCTTGACGGTAGTATCTTCCTTGCGTATTCGCGGCCTAGCTTTAGTATCGCCCTGACGTGATCTTCGAGCCGCCTATCCTTGCGCCGCTCCGCATCCAAAGTAATACGATACCCAAAACCACCATATCTACTGCAAGATGCTTCGAGGCGATCCATAAGATCCAACTAGTCCATGCTTTGAAGCTTTTTTCTTTCTTAGACCTCCACTCGCGCCCAGCCGTAATTTGTTCCCGTAGAGCAGCAACCTCAGCAGATAACCTTACTACGGCGCGCTCTACTTTTCGCGACCACCTATCGCCTTTCTTCACGTATTCCCCATCGTCCTCATCGCCCTGTCTCTGGCGATACTCCTGTTCCGCAGCATCGTCCTCACTCATTGGGCTGAGCACCTTCATAGGTCCCTCTGTCCCACTTAATGGTGCTTGAAAATGTCGGGGCTCGGCAAATGTAGCATCCTTCGGTGATGCATCCGATGACGAGGGGCTATTATTCTTAATTTGGTCCCAGACGAATTCGAGTTCTGCAACCAGTCCTTTCCCGTCTCTACAAAATATTTTATATTAGCTCACCTTCCACCGACCGCCACCATCCCCACTACAAAGATACTATGGCCCACTATATGGTTATTGCGGGGGTAGTCGAAGAAACTTACGGTGTGTTGGCATAGTGATGCATAGTCTCGATCAGTGCCTCGATGTGTATCGGCGTTTAGCCTCTGTCCGGCTGAGACCATTCTGTGCGTTCCACGCGTCCCATTTGTCCCGCTCTCGTTGTAGCTCGTCTACATCGACACCTGGCCGGTGCTCAGGCCGTTCCATCACACCGTCTACGTCACCTTCCATCGCCTGCTTATATAGGCCATATAGCCGTAGCCGGTCGCTCGGCGGGGGACGTGACGCCCCCGTTTTTGGGATCTTCTTGACCGTGTTCAGCGCGTGGACAAACACGCGGTCTATTTCGTGTGGGGACTCGATTAGCGACGGGGTGATGGATTGGGAAGTTGAAAGCAATGCAGACAGAGGAACGGGGTGCTTTGTTGGATTGGTTGGCTGGCCTGGTGATGGTGGGCTTTGATTCTCGGGGGACATACCAACTGAGTCGGCCATTTTGAACCGCTCATCTGTATTGTCAAGAACTTCGGGCCTCTAGCTCTTTTCTCGTTCTATCTATATACCCCCAATCCCTACATTTACTAGTACGCGCTCGATAAATGTGGTACGTTAGAGGCGTGGCAAGCAGAAGACCGTAGGTATGCGTAGCGAGCCCGGTTATTACTCTCCCAGGGAGCACGTCGACGCGGCGCCGAAGCAGATGAAGGATCACCGCCCAATGCGTTGGTTCCTGCGTTGGTCCCTCGGCTACCAATGGGAACCCGAGGTTAGGAACACGTCATCTATACAGGTGGAAAAAATGCAAGCAGATGGATAAAATATTAAGAATAGTTTAGGTATTGTATATAGGTCCGAGCTGGTTTGATATGGTATGATTACGTTAAACCACCGGTAAGAAATATTGGGAGTGGAAGTAAAGATGTAGGTAAGTAATAAGTACCGTATTTATTGTATAATTATTAGCTTTAAATGGATGTCGATCATATGTAGAGTTGGAGTTGGAGCTGGAGCAATTCTCCCCATAATGGGATAATGGGGAAACTTTCGATAGTTTATTCGGGTGTTAGGGGAATGTAATTGCCTCGGCGTAGAATTGGATCCATTCTTTACTGGGATCAGGTACCTTTTCTGCAACCTTCCGCCATACATACTGCTCCTTCTGTATGCAATGCCTACCATGTACCTAACTGTACCTACATCAATACAATTTCGGCGGTGGCCGCTCGCGTGCTTAGGTACCTACCTGTTAAATTAGTGCTAAGCTTATTCTTCTTCCGCGTTCCGGCAATTGCACGTGAAGAAGACAACTTCAGGTCAGATGGAAATACCTATGTGATCTTAATAGGTACCTTAGGTATATTGTATTATGTAATATATTATTCTTCGGGCTTCGCTTGATTTAATACATTCGAGTTTCACGTTGAAAAGGGTCATAGTCGGATTGTTTCAACACCCTGACTGTTATCACGATAACAAAATTGATTTTGTTCTCAGCTATACTGAACAAGGCTAGTAGCCTTGGCCTTGGTGTCAAGCCCTTATAGACCTGATTCCAAGGACTTATAAATATGATCTTATAAAATATGAATGGGAATAGAAAGAATGTACTCATTGTGGAAGAAACTATCTACAATGGGTGTGTGCGACCATGAAGGGTACTTATACTAGGATTATTGTCACATGATCAGGGATGAGATCACATGATACCCTGCCCTTGTTCAATACTTCTAAGATTCAGCTTCTGCTATCCGACATGACGTTAACTCGGTGTACGTATAGATACATATTGAGAAACTCGATCAGTACCTATGGACCTAATCTAGGTACCTGCCAAGTAGTGAGTGCCATTCTTCTAGCAATCTCAGATACCTTGAATATTACCCTATGACCAGTTGTCATATTCTTGCTGGGTTGACTCAGCTAAACTTCTAGATTTCAAAAATTCTTCCTTCTTTTGCTGCAGGCGCTTGATGAGCCTCTTATTATTCAGCGCTGCGCGCGCCGCATTATTTCCTGCCTCTTTCTTCGATAATGCACTTCCGAGACCTAGCTGGAGGTTACTTTCTCCCCACCCGTCAAGGAACACGCCTACAGTGTACAATGGAAGACCCAGGTGTTTATCCTTCTTTAGTTCACCCACGTCGTTGTACGAGAGTTTAATCCCATTCACAACGATAGTGTTTCTTAATATGACCTTGTAAGGTAGGTCCTGTTTTGTAGCTTTTTTGTCGCTGCCCTGCCCGTGTCTTGCTTCTTGTTTGAGCGATCGTGCTTAGAACTTGACTTGCCTCTGAACTCTGCTCGGATCTCATCTGCGAGTTCTGTGCTCCAGAGCGACTTTATCCAGGACGACACACGCGGTAGGCTCTCCGGGTCTGCTAAAATCGTAGCTGCGACGTAAGATTCAAAAACGTCGCCGAGGGCCTTTTTCCTTGCTACCTCAGATGCCCGAGTCGCCCCAGGCTTTCCGAGAGGACCAAACTCCGGGGGAATTTCGTGCGCTTGTCGATACCGTATTGTATGGTGTAGTTCAATAAAGTCTCGTTCCTAACAAGCCTCTCCCGCAGCTGAGAGCATCGCCCGACAGGTAGATTGGGAAAGGTCTGGAAGATGAAAGATGTAGACATGAGGTAGATATATGCGTCGCCAATCCACTCGAGCCGTTCATAGCTCATTTTCGTCGAGTCTGATGTCATTCCCGAGTGAGTAAGTGCTGCCTGCTCGAGGGCTGGATCTAGGATAGGGGGTAAGGGTGGCAGGCCAGAACTTGGTATATCATCAGGCGTCCATCGAGTCAGCGACACGTGATTTGGTATGGGAAGTGCTCTAACTCCAAGGGAATTTCTGGAATCTCCTCCATCTTCAAGCTTTCGAGCTTTTTGTGGTCTAGGATTATCCTGACTAAGAGCACTTGTCTATCAAAACGTGAATTAGCAGTGAGAACGGCACTGAATGGTTTAATGCTTACCTCGTCCTGTGCGAGCAATTGCGCGGTAGGTAATATCTCGTTGTTGTGGCGTTTTAATATCGAGACTATTTCGTCATTTATATCGGAAGTGTTACGAAAATTTTGGAGCTCTTCATTTAGAGCTTTGACTGTTTTCAGTAGATTTTCAGCATGCTTTAGGATTTGAGAAACTGATGTAGCGTTCTCAGGGCTGTTATTGGAGTCGACCTCCGCAAACAAACGCTTCGACATGGCGCTTATAGATTCTGCAAGTATACTTATCAGAAAGTGTGATATTTATATGTAGAAGAGTTGCTGATAAATATTAAGCCGTACTACGACAGCGCAACTATTTTACAGTTTTGAAGAGGTGAAAGTGTTACCTGAAGTACCTAAGGTACTTAGGTTTAGGTAGGTACGTAAATAATATGTCTTGACTGAAGGTATGCGCCACCTGAAAGGGAATAATTAACCGAATCTTTCCCGACAAATGCGCCCCACGCTCAATTGACTGGCCAAACTAACTGCGACAACTTCATCTTTAGTTGTGTGACAAGCAAAAGTTGCTGTATAAAAGGTCAAAATGGCGGCTGTTCCTCGTGCGAGGCTGCTGAACCTCATGAAGGTATATTTATTCCTTAATTGGTTTTGTATTGAATTCAACTAACTGGTATTCCAGGCTCAATGCGAAGTCTTCTCCACAACATACAATCCTGATGGGGTACGGATGGGCAACAATATCCTGCGACAACGATTAAGAGGACCAACGCTTGCCAAGTACTACCCCCCAAGAGGTCCGACAATCAATACATTAGCGAATACGTTTAAACGTTGGAATCTGGAGACTATTAACGAGGAAGAAGAGGATAGGTTGGAACATTTGGCAGGGTAAGCTATATCTACCTATGTCACAAGTATCACACATATTGGAATCTAACCAAGATATAGAGTGAGGTCGCGCGGAAAAGGTGCACCGAAGAAAAAGACTGGCCCCCCTGCTCGTATGATCCATTCCTCCCGTTTTGCTTGGAATAGCGCTAACTTCCAGTATAGCGAAACACAGGTAGAGGCGGGATTCGTCTTGTCTACCCTTGTACATATACACACAAAAGTAACGGCGTTTATGGACGTAAATCATCAATTCATTACTATGAGACCATATATTCGGAATATAAAGAAACTACACTCTAATAATACGCCAGTGCTACCTATGCCCCCTAATTTCTCGATATCGCTTCCAGTCTCGTGGTTTTCGATTGGTCTATGAGCATGGATTCACGATAGTAAGACGTCAACTAGGGCGCTGGAGGTTTGTTCACTAAACTTAAAGGGGTAACCCTATACGGCTACCCTTATATACGATTGAGCGCGTTAGGTGCTAATATCTACCCGTCGTTTAGTATTCCTATATATGACTCTAAGTTAGGGCCATCAGTACACGATAATGTATATTCCCTAGGTGCCCAATTGATATGAATGCTACTAGAAAGCTATTTACTTATGTAGACGCACGCCTGTGTGTAAAAGACAAGGGTCTGATGCAAGTACTGGTGTATATATGAACCTGATAAGCGATTATCCTTAGAAGCTTTCACCACACCCTTGTGCTTATAAGTATTGGTAGTTAGTTAACTTGGTCTATTAGATACATGTAGGACTATCCCGCAGAGCCGATTTCGAATATGTAATCACCATCATATGGACGCGACTGGAGGGATGTTGGAAGATAGTGTCGAGAAGGCATTGAAGCGGCATTTCCAAATACCTGCTTAAACATTGAACTGGGTATTAATGTATACCTTCAAAAGGTACCTACATGTAAAGGGGAGGAATAGGGGCGTTACTTCCATGTAAAGATCTGTCGCTCAGCACACAGGGGAGGCAGGCAGTCAGTTGGAACTAATTGTCTCTTAGCAACGCGATGAGGCGCAACTTCCACCTAGTCTAGGAAAGACGTGATTATAGATCCCGTTCTATCCAGACTCAAGCCGGTCAGAAGGATCTCTCCTTCCCTTTTTTAATCCTCATCGTTGAATTCATACGTTACGTATTACACTATCCTTCTAGCCCTATATTAGCGGTTGTCATAAGTTTCGCGTCTGTCACGTCTTCACACATATGAGCATACATATGGTCACACCTGGCAACTATTTCGAAGATACCAAGATTATTTAGGTATTTGACCCCTCTTAATCGGTTTGCACTGCAATCGCGTCACTTTGTAAAGGGTTTAGCATCGGTACTGCTCTTTTGTCAACTACCTAAGGTACATATACGTAGTGTACTTCAGTAAGTCACCTCGCTACTTCCTCAAGGAGAGCAACTTCCTCATCATACATGAGCTTTTTTCTACACGTTGACCAAAGGTAAGGCAATCTTAACTATTTCGCTCCTTCCATTACTTTTAATACGTCAAGGTCGTCACCTACTTCTATCATATCATACCAATCAGTTGCAAATTAAAGCAACTTCTTCTCCCTTTCAGCGAGAATTTATCCATCCCTCCCACCTTCAACTTCTTCCACCATCCTACCTCTCATCTAACTCCCAAAACCCATCCACTACTCTTCTTTCACTTCACTCTCACTATACCATCTAATCTTTTTGTTGCAATTGAGGCATCTATGCCATTTGTCAACTTCTATTTTGGGCACTTAGTGGTTCAATTTAAAACAGATTCTCTTCCTACCGGCAACGCTCTTTGCTTCTATACTAACTAGAACAGGAGCTATGTCTGCTATTCCGATTCTTTCGACTGGGTCTCCGAACCCTCGTCGCACACCCGCTTCCAACAAGCCTTTGAAGGAGGAAAACATCAAGGTTGGCAAAGAGGATACCTCTACTGCCAATGTAAGTGATGTCCTTACGCGTCTCCTCCGATATGTGAGTGGTTATTGTAGTTTGGTCAAACATATCTTTCCCTCTGTAATTGTGTTGATCTATTGGCGGGTCTCTATCCATATTATATCTTGCTTATCGGATGAATTCTTCTTGTTATCTCTAGCTCGATATTGTTCGGATGACACAGCCGAAACTAATGGTTATCTACAGCAGGAACCGGATGTTTCTATGTCTCAGAAGAAGTCGGTTTCTGCTCTCTCGACCTCTTCCTTAGCCAACCAGAGCTATCCTAAGGTTAGTGTTCACCCTATGGCCATCTTCGTTTGTTTCCTATTTACTAACTATAATAGAAGATGAAGCTTAGTCACGACTCCTCATCAGGTCCTTCTAGCTCTCCTGATCCAAACCCCATGGACCACCTACTGGAGAAACTGTCCCAACAGCAAACTGCACTCCACAAACAGGGAGATGCTTTGAAGACTTCTGAAGGGAACTGTATGTACCCTCCTGCCCTGGACCATGCGCCTTCGAGCAACTCGGTACCAATTACACCAGCGAACGAGAACTTCGGCAGCACAGGCCCGACTACACGGCCGGCTAGTGCGGCTTTGAATGATGACAGTCCCAGCGACGAGGAGGTCCTTCGCTTGAAGCTGCAACTTGCCCAGGCTCAGAACAAAATCACTCGACTCGACCACGAGCTTGCTCAGAGCCGCCACACCCGACCCGGACTAGAGCACGCCATGAGTGGCTCTCCGCTAGATGCAGATTTCCCTTCTGGATTTCAGGTCCCTCCTAACCCATCGCGAGTCCCGGGTCCTACGACCCTTGGTGTTGGCACGCAGCAGGCAATTGGCAGGGAAGGTGGTCATTCCTGGTCTACTTTTGATGACTCTCGGTCGGATACCAGCGATGCCTTATCAGCTACGGGCTTCAACCGCTCTCGTAACATCTGGGGGCCAAGTAAGAGTGCTCAAAGCTCTTTCCAAGGTGGTTTCCCCGGACCCGACTTACACCAGAGCAGCCAATGGAGTGGTCGTGGTGCTAGTCAGGGATACATGGATCATAGCCTGACCTATGAGCCCGCGGCTTCTGGTGGCTATCGTGGAGATCGCCTGACACCGGATTATGACATGACGATTCGACCCGCTGGCAATCGACGGAACAACCGAGTTGATAATCGCCTTGGAATGCCCGCTTTTAGTGCACAGCCAGGATTCGGAACTGGTTACAACTACGGTAGTGGTCAGTACGGATCTGATCATGGCATGTCTGGACCAACCCCGGCCCCGACTGGTTCGGGAATTTACTCTCCTTATCAGCCTACCGCTGTCGGTACACCGCTTTCGCCTCTGGCGAGCGAGTTCACGTCAGTTACGGGTAGTGCACCTTGGAAGTCAGAGGTAAGTACCGATTCACTCTTTCATTTTGGCCTATTACTGATGCAGACTGTCACAGCCCGGAGCTTCTGAAGGCCAGACCTATTTACCCACCACGGAACCTCTGAATTACCGCCGCCTACTTGATCGCAATGTCAACTGCAATTGGAAGTACATCGTCGATAAGATTGTCTGCAACAATGACCAGCAAGCGTCGATTTTCTTGCAGCAGAAACTCAAGGTCGGAACGCCGGACCAGAAGTATGAAATAGTAGAAGCAATTGTTGCCCAGGCTTATCCACTGATGGTTAATCGCTTTGGCAACTTCTTGGTACAACGATGCTTCGAGCATGGAACCCCGGAACAGGTAGTCAAGATCGCAGAGGCCATTAGAGGATGCACACTCAACCTCTCAATGGACCCGTTCGGCTGCCATGTAGTCCAGAAGGCGTTTGATTCCGTCCCGGAAGATTACAAAGCCATTATGGTCCATGAATTACTACGACGCATCCCGGAGACTGTTATCCATCGATATGCGTGCCACGTCTGGCAGAAGCTCTTCGAGCTGAGATGGACCGAGTCTCCACCTCAAATCATGAAGTACGTGAACGATGCGCTCCACGGCATGTGGCATGAGGTTGCTCTTGGAGAGACAGGAAGCCTGGTTGTCCAGAATATCTTCGAGAATTGCCTCGAAGAAGACAAGGTACGTCTAATAGAAGTATGTACAACTTTGAATTGTGATGCTAATAAGACTCCAGCGTCCTTGTATTGAGGAGGTCCTTGCCAACATCGATATCGTCGCTCATGGCCAGTTTGGAAACTGGTGCATCCAGCACATCTGTGAGCATGGCGCGCCAGCTGACCGAAGCAGAGCAATTGACCACGTCATTCGCTACGCAGCAGAGTACAGCATGGACCAGTACGCTTCCAAAGTAGTTGAGAAGTGCCTAAAGATCGGCGGAGCTGAGTTCCTGGCACGATACCTTGACCGAGTCTGCGAAGGCCGCGTGGACCGTCCCCGAATCCCTT